AAGATGGGAACTACGTCAGCTCTTTTCCAGTCCTCTGGTAGTTCCCCAGTGCTCCAGGGTCTTTGAAAAATATAGTTCAGTGGTTCTGAGATCACATCTGCCAGTTCCTTGAGAACCTTGGGGTGTAATCCATCTGGTTCTGGTGATCTGAACTCGTCTGGGCTGGACAGGTGCTCACTTCCATTTTCTTGCCTATCTTAACTTGTGTTTCTAATCTGTTTTTTACAGTACTGTTTTTGATAGGTTGGACTGTTTTTTCCCTTTGTGTAAAGACAGATGCAAAAAACAAGTTAAATAGTTCTGCTTTCTCCCTGTTGTTTGTCACCTTCTTGCCATTTTCACCCACTAATGGACCAATCATTTCCTTAATTTTTTTCTTGTTTTTTACATGTTGAAAGAAACTTTTTTTGTTATTCTTGACTTTGGTTGAAAGCCTTAGTTCATTTTGAGCCTTAGCTTTCCTCACTTCATCTTTGCAGGCTTGGGCTATTTGCTGATATTCTGCCTTAGTTATGTGCCCCTCTTTCCCCTTTTTATATTTGTTCTTTTTATCTTTCAATTTATCAGAGAGTTCTTTATGCAGCCATGCTGGTTTCTTTTGAGAGCTGTTATTTTTCTTCTTTGTTGGTATTGTGCTAGACTGGGCTTTTATTATCTCACTTTTCAAAATTTCCCAAGCTTCTTGAGTTGTTTTCCCCTTGAGGATTCTCATCCATGGAATCCTACCCAAGCTCTCTCTACGTTTATTGAAATTATCTCTCTTAAAGTCCAAGACTCTAGTTTGACTATGTTCTATTGCTTGTGCTTCCATAATGTTGAATTCCAATATTGCATGATCACTTCCACCCAAGGTTCCTGTGGCTTCAACACCTTCTATCATTTCATCTCTGTTAGTGAGGATTAGATCCAATATGGCTAATTCCCTAGTTCCCTTCTCTACTTTTTGGGAGACAAAGTTGTCTGCTAGGTTTGTCAGGAATCTGTTTGATCTTCCACTTGGTGCAGAGTTTATCTCCCAGTTGATGTCAGAGTAATTAAAGTCCCCCATTACTATTGTGATGTGCTTCCTACATACTTTAGTTAGCTGATTAGCAAAAAGTTAATCTATTTCCTCTGTTTGGTTGGGCGGCCTATAGTATACACCTATGGCAATGTCATCCCCCCCCTTTTATATTGACCCAAATGCATTCAAGACCGTTTTTGACATTGTTGTGCTCTATTTCTGTAGAGATGTAGTTATTTCTTACATATAGTGCAACTCCACCTTGTCTTTTGTTTGGTCTGTTTCTTTTAAATAAGTTAAATCCCTCTAGCTGCATGTTCCATTTGTGGATTTCATCCCACCATGTTTCCGTAATGGCAACAATATCATATCTGCCTTCATTTACCTGAATTTCTAGTTCACCCTGTTTACTGTTTATATAGTGCTTTCCACCCAAGCAAATCCTTTGATGATCAACGCTTTCAGGCATCATACTCAACTGAAGCACATGCTGGGAGATGGGGGCAAATCACATGAATAGTTTTATGTGGGTAAATGGGGGGAGGGTCATAACGTGGCATTGCACATTCAGGAAGCTGCTGGTTAAACTCTGTTTAAAAGCAGATGGCTATAATCTAAATTTATACTTCTGGCTCATGCTGTAGATTATTTGCTTATATAAATAGTGAAAAAACCCAATAGCAACAGGAGAATTTATTCGCAACAGGAGAATTTATTCTCACTCATGCCCATTCTAACTCTCTGCCAACTAAATGTGAAGAAATGACATCCTGCTGCTTCAAATTAATAGTTTAAACAACTGAAGTATTTTAATCTTCCTTTTTTTTAAACAGACCATTATTCTATAGCTCATTCTAATGACATTTAATGGATTCCAGAAATGGATACCAATAAACCTTCTTATATAGAAATAGAAGACAAATTAATTTGATTATAGTAAGACAGAATGAATAGATAAGCTAGATTGCAATTATTTGTACAGTCTGCACTTCTCTAAATTTTACAATGCAGGGACTTGATAAAATAATATATGCTAGGAAAATATTACATTAATAATAACAGTAATTTATTTGTATGCTACCTACCTCTCAATACCTCAATGACTCACAACACTCAAATAATTTATAATAAAATCAATAAAACAAAAAAAATAAAGATAAATTAAAATGTACATATTAGGGATGTTATTAGATTCGGAAAGAATGCATTGAAAAGAGGGCCAACTTCATATGGTTATGTGTGCTTTAACATGCACACATAAAAACATTCAGGATTTCAAACAGATAATGAAAAAGAAATAAGAAACTGTTGTAAAACTGTGAAAAAGTGAAAAAGCTAACTGTAGTAAAAAGCAAAATCATCCATTCCTATTATATACGTTAAAGCTTACCCTATTACACAGAGAGAATGGTGTAGCCTAGAATTTTATTTACAAAACTGCTTTGATGATCTTAGACTATGAAAAGTAAGCTGGAAAAATCATGGAGTTGAATAGTTTGATAATGGTAAATGGAAGTGTTAACAGCATGCCAGCTACAGTGTAGTAGTATTATTGTGTGGTTACGACTGATCATTATTTAAATTTACAAGTTTTCCATTGCATTCACTATTCCTATAGCTTTTGCAGTGGGGCTCCAAGGAAAGTAGCCATGTAGAGGACCCTTATGGTGATGAGTATGTATTATGTGGTGCTATATGTAGGTACATGTACTGGTGCCAATGTACAATTTAAATGTCACCACAGCAAGAACACTAAGCAAATAATTGTACTAAAAATTATATTACTACAAAAGTGGAAACATACTAGAATAAAGAATGAAGCTGGTGAGGCAGGAACAAACAATTTCCATGCTAATGAGAACTGTTAACAATGGTCAAGCTTCCAATTTTGAAAGGCAGGAGGAAAAAGTCTAGACTTTAAACCCTGGAGCACAGACTTGGATAAGATTTTTATTTTTATATGTTGCAGTGGGCAAATACAATGACTAGATGGCTTCATCCTTGTTCCTAATAAAGAGGCTAATCTCGCTATCCTGTGTCTGTGAGTAAGACAATTGCCAGTAAGACAATTCCTGAATGAAGGATTAAGAACCTGGAAAGTCAAGATTTAATTGTATCAGTATGTTGCATGGCAACTGAGATGTTGATTGAGGAAGAGCAAATGGAAAATCACAGAGGCCAAATTTACTCTTATTGCAGCATTCTGAACGAGAGAAGTTTCTCCTGTTGTGCTGAAAATGGATATCAGCAAAGTGATAGGAATAAACCAATTGCATTACTTATTGTGTCTGAAATATACACAAATCAAGACAACATTCTTTGGCTATGACAATAGCATCCACAGAAGGGGTGAAAACAGGTAGGACTATGGTCTAAGGCTAAGCCCTGCTTCTTTTGTGCATACATTGATATTGCATGCACATAGAAAGGTTTTAGCCTTGCTGCTCTTACTTGTTTTGACCTCTATGAATAATACTGGCAGTTGATTTTCTAAAACCTTGACTATTTCTTAAATGAAAGTATTGTGCAACCAACGTAATTAATGAGTTCACTTATCTCTAATCATAAAAACGAAGTACATAGAAAAATGGTCTCAAAATAAGTAAAGACAAGAAGCTTTCAGATATCTATGATCCATGTGCTTGCTGAGCCTATTGACTACAAAGGATAATATCATTCACACTTTATTTGGGAAAGAAACCAATTATACTGGCATATATATGTAAGGCAGATTTTATTTGTGTAATTTAAAAATACTATATAAATTAAATTAAATTACTCATTTAAGATTTATTCCTGTTACCCAGACTGATTCTCCAAATAGATAAAATGTCTTATCATTATCATCAATGCCATTTCCAAATATCTCATACATGAAATGTTTATTCAGGCAATAAAACTTTATATCACTGCTCCTTTTGAAAGAAACATCGGACCAGATATCAAATGACAATTTAATCCGAAACACATGAAATTTTAGCTGTGGAGAAAAAAAAAACTATAGCAAAAAATAATAGCAAAGAAATTTCTTGCTTCTAGTTCGTCCAAACAATTTCTTCATCATTCTATGATGCAATTTGAATTTTATACTTTTGGGCCCCATATTCCAAAATGTGCACCTGTTTTCACAACTGATAGTCTGTCCCCTTGAATATTAACATCAAAAGGCTTGTAGTCCATCTGTACCCAACTCTATTCCTAGAGCTGGGTAGCCCAAATTCTTTGTCAACCTCCCCTTACTGCCCTCCAATTTTCTCTGGAAAGCTTTGTGTCACTGGGCTTGCAGCAAATACGAACACACACACAAAATTGTGCTGTGTCTTCTGAGATCTGCTTTCTGAAAATGCAAATGAGGCTAGCATAGCACAAATCTTCAGCATGCATAGCGTCTGCAGCCCAACATTCATAACTTTAAAACCAAACAAAGATAGCAAACTGTTCAAGGGGGCATCGGATAGCTTCACTGAAACAAACAAAAAACAAAACATTTGGTTTTTGTTTGTTTCAGTGAAGCTGTCAGTTGCCCCCTTGAGCAGTTTGCTATCTTTTTGGATTTTGGTTTTGTTGTGATTTCTCTGAAATCAAGTTGGCCCTCCTAATTTGCCCATGACACTGTTCTTTTTCTGCCATTTTTCCTATATTTGTTCAAAAGCAGTATGTGCTCCATGAACAACAAAATGTGAAAGACTCTTGAGCATCTTCCATTGTGAAGATCAGCAAACACATCACACAGAATCTTGGTGGTTCTCTTAAAGGCATTATTTTAAAAACACTTGATGCATAATTGACTTTTCCAGTATGCCTATGGTCATAGAAAGTGGAGTAGCCAGTCACTTAGAAATATACTTATTATATGTGACAATTAATAAACAATCTATAGTTTATTTCTCAGCAATTGTTACTAACAATAATTCTATGAAGAAATGCCACTTAATTTTTGTTTCTCACCTATTCTTCTGTATTTTAGAGGTGTCAGATTTTCAAGAATAAATCCTACCTTGTCACTGTCTACTGTATTCTGAGAAGTCCTGGATGCAATTGAAATTGTGTCAGGCTGACTACTCCCATCTCCTTGGCTGTCAGCATCTTCTCCTCCCTCTCTGCAGAGGAAAAAACAAGAAGAAATTTCTTGAATGAATTTGAAAAGTGTTCAGGCACAATGTGAAGAAGTAGTTGTTCAGCTGATCACACATGTGTTACAACTTAGTCTGTAATTTAGAATACTGATGTCATCCCTACAGTGAGGTTAGTGCATAATAACCCCTTTTGCTCTTTAAAACTGACTACTCCAGGTTTACATAGTGACAGCAACATATCTCAAAATAGCTCCATAATGAATGTGGCAAGCCAATGACCTGTTCTGCATGGATTTCTCACTTAACCAAACCCAGCCATCTAAATTATAGTCTAGCTGTTTTGCAAAACCAATGTCAGTTCCTCAGTTCTCACATTTTCTGTGGTTTAAATGATGAGGCTATCAAACTTTGAAAAATATACAATATGAACAAACTAATTTATTCTCCTTTTAAAATATTTCTGATAATTTGAAAGAGTATGGACTATTTTCCACCCTTCATTCTGATTTCTGTTTATAGGATGCTACTGCAAGGGGCTTCAATACTAGAACCTTTTTTTTAAATAAAAAAATAGAGGATATGAATCTTATAAAGTATGTTAGCAATAATCTAATCTAATCAATACAGATTATTAATACAATGACTACTAGGGAAGGTTAGCATCTACTCCTGTGCCATTGTTTTAACATCATTTTAATCCTATCAAAACAAAGTACATAATCTGGATCCAGATAGATAGATAGATAGACAGACAGACAGACAGACAGACAGACAGACAGACAGACAGACAGACAGACAGACAGACAGACAGACAGACAGACAGACAGACAGACAGACAGATAATAGAGAGACATAAAGATCTGACTAAACATTACCTCACTAAACATATTTTCACCAATTACATTCCCCAAGCACTGCTCAGGAAGTCTAAGCTTGATCTACCAAGTGCAAGATGCTAACTCCTTTAGAGAAAGTTTATCAATTCAACAGAATAAATACAATTTATATACAATCAATGTACAGAAACATATTGGTGTAGTTCACATTTAGCACTAAGCTATGATCTGGTTTGGGGTTTTTTGTGTGTGTGGCATATCATGGAATGTGGATCTACTTATATTGTTATTCAACAAACAATGGTTTAAATCCAGACTGAATTTATAGTGCAAATCCAGACTTTCTGTGGTAAAACAGTTGTTTTATATAGAACATTTACAGGACGACTAAAATTACCTCTTACTGTTGTTTCTTTGTTTTGCAGGGGTTTTAGGGAGCTGGATTGGCTCTTTCAAAGCTCCTTTTACATGTATAATTCTTTCTTGTATCACTTCTCGAATATTTTTAATCCATTCTTGTTTAGTTTCAATACTGGTTGCCTAAACATTTGAACAGCAAAGGCAGAAGATAGAATTAAAGTATTTCTCAAGTATGGCCCTGTATTTTGCTTCTTTTCAAAAGTTGCTTTCATTCATTTACCTACATAACAGAACAGTTTTCCTGATAAGACAGGAAATGTTCATGTGCTAAAAGTACACTCCTAGTAAAAGAAAGGCAAACAAAGGTAAAATAATCTATGTATTGTATGTGGTGTATGACACAACCCAACCTAGCCCAATCCAGTATTCACACACCCAAACGTAATATGTATAATATGCTTAGAGAGGGGAAATTGTTGTTCTTGTATTGCTAGTTTCTCAAACAAAGTCTCTAAAATGATGTTGCTCTGTAAAATGACCCTAACCTAAAAAATCCCATTAGCACTAAGAAAGCTGTTTGGCGTATGATAGTTTTTAAAGAAATCAATGATTATAAAGAACATTTCCATCAAGTAAATTCTGCTATGAGCAGTAAAAAGTAAATAGTGTTGTTTGCTTTTACACTGTGTTAAAACCACAGATCACTTCATTCTAATCTAATGAAGCTTAAGATAATTTCCTTCCAAGATATATATGACTACACATTATAACGTTATATGTTTTAATGAGGTCTTCCCCTAGTGATAGTTTTAAAAAACTACTTTTAAAAACCGCTAGGGCAAATTACATAAAAATGGGAACATCGCTCACGTATAAGAGCGATGGCAGATCTTGACCTGAATATATATATCCATGATCATTACTAGACTTATAGTCAGTTAAACTAAATTCAAACAAAGAGAAGAGCTAGAGTAAGATAAAGAATGAAATCGGAATTCTTGATGAAGATAACCTTGGAAGTGGGAGCAAATTAGCAGCTGAAGGCTATTCCTAATATATGGTGTATATACTGTTATATATAGACTTTTGTGCCTGATGTATAGAATGTTATTTGCAGATTAAACAAATCCAGTCTATGCTTTACCCAATGAGTTTGATCTAGTGTGTATGTGGTAACTAAAAAAGATTGACTAGTGGCACTCAAATAGCATTATGTTGTATAGACTAGAATCCCTGGGGTATAAAGCTCGCATTGCTTATGAATGCATGGCATGTGTGTGTAAGCCATGTGCATTGACCTCACCTTTTATATCTACTATATATACTTGTCCCACAGTTTCATGCATTGCTACTCATACGCTGAGTAGCAAGCTCTGAAATTGGTTGCTTTATAAGTTCAATTAAATAGGAAAAGGACCCAGGTTGTGATTATTGATCTGGATGTTTTTACTGAGGAAAAAAATTAAAAAGCATTGGAGGTAGAGGAAAATAATTTTGGAGACTTACTTTTAACACTGTTTTGTTATCCGAAGAGGGAGTCCGTCCAGACCACAAGGCAAACTTGCATGGATCTCCTTCCACATGCTCTGTTACTCCCAGTTCTGAGGTCTGTAAGGAAAGAAGAGATGGCTGAAACTGGTATTTTCATGAATTTTTGAATGATGCTCAGAGTGAGTTCACATATAATGGCAAAGTACATTTTTATACTACAAATTTAATAATAAAGACCTTTTTTAACTTTTTCATGTCTCCATTAACCACTCCTACTTTAGTAAAGTACAATAAAATGAATCGATATAAAGTATGACATGTAGAATCAAACAGATAATTTGATTTCTCTTCCACCCCCAATATAATAAAGGTTCTGAAACCCGTAAAGATCCCTGCAAACTTACCAGTAATTTGTTCTTGTAAACATATTTAGTATGTCCTGTAGAATCTTTTATCTCTTTGCTGAAAACTAGAGAGATTTCAAAGAGAAACAAATGTCTCTCACGACCCTTCCGGATGAGAGATTTGGGATCCCATACTTGGAATGAATCCTGAAGAATCAGTTCTCCCTGAACATCCAAATTTTCATCAAATCCTGTGATAAATACAAACAAAAATGAAAAAAAAAAATAAACCTTTGTAACATTGGTGTCAAAAACCCACACTCAGTCCATGACTAGATAGTACTGAGCTAGATGGAGGAATGGTCCGTCTCAGTATATCAGAGGACCTATTTGGAATGTGCATCCAGATGAGACTCAAAGTTATGGTGAAGGAATAAAAAGCTCTTTAGCATTTGGATATAAATCCCCACAAAAGAATTAGAGGTCCAAAAAATATATCATGCAATGAGGGAGAATGGAAATAGCAAATTAGTGTCCAAGGAGGATTCAGGTACTCCTTAACAACTAGAGATGTGTAAAGGTACACGTGGGCATTTTTAAAAGAAGGCCCTAAGAATGTTTAATGCAGTTCATGACATGAACATTCCTAATAATTTTTGCATTTGGATGCAGGATGCTCCAACGCTAGAGGTTTTTAAGAAGAGATTGGACAACCATTTGTCTGAAATGGTACAGGGGTTCCTGCCTGAGCAGGGGTTTGGACTAGAAGACCTCCAAGGTCCTGTCCAACTGTGTTATTCTGTTATTCTTCATAGTTATTCATTATTAAGTACTTCATAGTTATCAGTAAGACAGACAAACAAACAACAGCCTTATATCAACAGACTGTCCTATACATGTCCATTCTCTTCCCTGGCAGATTAATCGTTACATACCTTCCAGCATGCTTACATGCATGGCATCATTGGCTTTCTTAGGGACACTGAGCATGACTTCCAAACCATCCTTGAGCTCTCCTTTTCCTTCTTCACAGCATGTTAAAAGTTCCTGGAAAAAGTGCATAAACAAAACAAACAAACAAACAAAGAAACCCTGGATAAGTTTGTTTCCTTTTGATTGCAGCCAATCAAGTCATTTGCAGGATGTAAGTTAGTTTCTTAATAGTTATGGCAATTGTGAGATACTTAACTGTCTTCTTATATACTTCAGGAATTGTGACAGCCAAGAGATGGCAAGTTCTGTTATTAAAGCAACTGCAACAGTTTCACAATTAAGGGGTTATCAAGTCTGAATGCTAAGTTGTGTGAAAAGGACTATGTAAAATAAAACTGTCTGATTCAACACCCCCATTTTATAAATTGTGTAGCAGAGTGTTGTTTCAGCTTCCCTGATAACTGAGAAGATAAGGAATTAAATATTTACATGGAAAAGGTAATTTGACATGATTATACTTAAGATATTACTTAGCTAACCAGGATAAATGGTCTTTTACCTAAGCCTTCCCAAGAAGGTTGGGAAGAGGGATTATTCTAATCACCATGAAGGTTGGTATCAAGGATATATTACTTAAATTCTACATTACTAAAGTAAATAAAAGCTGAGAGAATGTAAATAATGAGGCAAAAAGTCATGTTATATAACATCTAGATTAGTGACTTTTTTCCAGGGACTAAAAATAAAAGTAATCACAATAGTCAAAGAATCCTTCTAAGAATTTGAGATGATATAGTTTTATGGAAGCCTTTATGGAGTCCAACTGAAGCAAAGAATTATAACTCTGTTAAGTTAACCCTGCCATCCATTGGAAAGTAGAGAGAAAAAGGATATATGTGCAGACAGTTCTGTGCAATACCTAGCTTCCCTGCCTTGCAACCTAGGCTTGCCAATCCTGGCTGAAAGACAGATATAAACTCTTAAGGCCTTGCCTGTTAAACTGGGCCTTAAGTTATCTCCTGGGTCACTATTCTCCTCAGATCATTTAAATAAGGCAGCAACCTGCTCAAGCCTAGTAAAATGTTTTAATATCTTCCTTCTCTGTTATATCTTTGGTGCCGCCTTCCCTCCTTAGTTGTCCAATAACTGTTGAAGAGGAAATGACCTCTCTGAGCTAGACTGAGCAATCCCCTAACCCAGGGGTGTCAAACTGGCCACGTCATGTGACTTTTTTCCCCTTGCCAGAGCTGGGGTGGGCACGGTTTCCACATGATGCATCTGACCCATGGGCCGGCAGTTTGACACCCCTGCCCTAACCTTTTCTCTACATGTCTCCTTCTTACATCATTCCAACTGATCCTTTTATTCAGCTTTCATCCCAATTGGCTTATCTTCATCTTTCTTGATTAGCCAAGTCCCTTCTTCCCATTTTGGCTTCAGCATTTCTGTACTGTACTGATATTAGCCCAGGAAGCAGGTTCTAAACCTTCTTCTAATTGTTTATCCTTCCTTTGTCTTAACAGGCTGAGGCAGGACATCAGCTTCCACAGAAGGAGCAGTACTCTTAGCATCAACAGGAGCAGCAGTACCCTTAAACTTTTCCATCTCTAATTGCAGGGTGTAAGCTCTGGTTCAAGGTCTTCTTTCTGAGGGCCAATATTCTGGACAAGGCCTGCAGGGTATGAGATGTACCAAATCTTCTCCCTGTAGAGGTAGTTCTTGACTTATGACCACAATTGAGCCCAAAATTTAGAAACTGTTCCTAAGCGAGACAGTTGTTAAGTGAGTTTGTCTCATTTTACGACCTTTCTTGCCACAGTTGTTAAGTGAACCATTGCAGTTGTTAAGTTAGTAACACAGCTGTTAAGTGAATCTGGCTTCCCCATTGACTTTGCTTGTCAGGGGGGTCACAAAAGATGACCACATGACCCCAGGACACTGCAACCGTCAGAAATATGAATCAGCTGCCAAACATCCAAATTTTGATCACGTGATCACAGGGATGCGGCAACAGTCATGTAAAAAACGGCCATAAGTCACTTTTCAGTGCCATGGTAGCGTTGAACGATCACTAAACAAATGGTTGTAAGTCGAGGACTATCTTGTTTATTGCTGACATCTATATTTCTGTGATCTAAATCTCTGAATGGTCACTGCTTATACAGCTACATGTCTTTTTTTTTTTAGTTTGTATTTTATCATTTTTAGTTTCTGTTCTGTCAAAGTTACTTTTTCCTTCATCTTTTCAGCTTGTTTGTTCTCGGCTTGGCTTCTTGACCCTTTTCCCTCTCTTGAATCTTGGCTCCAGCTGAGGAAAATGGCTTGAAGACTTTGTACCTTATACCTGTCCGAGAGAAGGAAATAAACTCATTTTTCTCTCTAGTTTTCTCAGCCGCTGTCTCCTTTCTAATTGCCTCTTTCTCTGCAGGGTTACCTAACCTTTAGTTTTACTTATTTCTTTGACTCCTGGGCTTAGGCTCCATTTCTTCATGAGCTCTGTGGCTGCAGAGTTCCCAAGCATCTTGTCTTCCTCTTCTCCCTGCCTCCTCCCAACACTGCTACTTGATTGGCAGCTGCGTTGTCTTGGCAATGGGGGAGGGACAAGAAGAGAGTAGGAGCAAGAAGCCCAGGGGCTCATTATCTCCACAGACAGTCGATCCTTCCACATCATTGTCCCCTTTATAAATATAGGTAGTCCTCGACTTGCAACAGATCACTTAGTGACCATTCAAAGTTACAATGGCACTGACGTATGACCGTTTTTCACACTTATAACGGTTACAGCATCCCCTTGGTCTAGTGATCAAAATTCAGACACTCAGCAACTGACTCATACTTATGACCATTGCAGTGTTCCAGGGTCATGTGATCCCCTTTTGTGACCTTCTTACAAGCAAAGTCAATGTGGAAGCCATTAACAACCATGTTACTATCTTAACAACTGCAATGATTCACTTAACAACTGTGCCAAGAAAGGTTTTAAAATGGGGCAAAATTTATTTAACAAATGAGGCACTTAGCAACAGAAATGCTGGGCTCCCATTGTGATCGTTAAGTTGAGGACCATCTGCATGTGCACGTAGTACTCTTGTACATAGGCATGTATTTGATTTTATTTAAAAAAAGTCTCTGAATTGAATTAATTACTGATAAAAAATAGCTTTAAAATAATTTCAAAACCTGTAAAATCCCCTTCTGCATAGAGAACATTTTATACATTCACACAGACCAGAGTATGCTATATATACATTCTTCTAGAAGAACAGGAAGAAGAAGAAAAACAACAGCACAGGATGGAAATGAAATAAAAGGAGGAAGCAATTAAATGCAGAAATTAAAGGAACGATAAAGGGAGAATAAAAATAAAGGTGGTCTAAAGAAATGATGTAACTTGACAGGCAATAAAGGAAAAGAAGTGCTCATTAGGCACTTTAATCCACAAAAAGGATTAAATCCATTAGGCCAACAGTTCTTCCCAAGCTGCAGTTCATCTTCTAAGATGACCAATCTTTATAGTTGGAATATTTGCATCCTTTTGCACCTCTTGCTCATGTCTTTATATTCAATATTTCTTCTATTCCTATCAGTTAATCTAATGTAATCCTCACTCTCTTGTAATTCAGGGCTAAATATATGAGAAAAGGAATCCCAACATTTCTATTGAGTCCGTATGGTGTTTGCTTGAAAAGCCTGTAGCATTTGAGTAAGAATTGGGGTCCCAAATGAAGAGGTATGACGTGTACCAGCAAATGCTCCTGTAAATACATTGGAAATGCTAAGATTTGTGCTGAGAGTCCCAGACCCATATTCTTAGTTTCCTGCAAAGATTAGAAAAGATGAGGCAAAATGGCAAAATATATCAGTAAATGTTCTGCAAAATAGCATTTTTACTGATTTTTAATGTAAATGATATATTACTTAAATATATATATTTTGCATCACTTCTATAACACATGCAGATTGTTGGCGAGAGGCCTTACAACTGAAGAAGCAAACAAAGAGCAAGAAAGAGAATTTGACCTTGGCAAGACAGTTGGTTATAAACAAACAATAAATCCTATGTTATGATGTCCATAAAAGTTTTTAGTGAAAAAAATTAGTACGGTACATCTAATCACCTTAGTATGAAGTATGTAAATACTTATGAGAATAACAACAAAATCAATGCCATACCTTTAATAAAAGCTGATACTTTGTAATCCTCTGGACAGGTTTGATCAGATATGAGGAAATGGAGTTGGCCAAACCATGCCTTTGTTGAATTTCCTTCAAAAAAAGTAAAAACAACACTAAACAATCCCTAAATCAAAATAAAATAGATAACCAGAATGCAACAAAAAGATTTGCAGATTCTTTATCAATTTAAAAATCCATAAATAATTATTTTTAACTGTAAACTATCTTGACTGAGTTTTTTGGAGCTATCAATCATTCCGTAATATTTTTGATAAAGTATGTGATAGAGAAATTTTGTAACTTCTGCTCTCTTTCCCATGGTCATTTAGAAAGAACCATTTGATGTAAATATGTTGAGGTTCTTTAAATGCCTTAAGTTCTGAAGCGTATCTCTGGTGCTCAATGCAGAAATATGTTATAGAATCTGATGCCACCTTTTTTGAGCCAATGTCTATTGTTGTTTATGAACCAAAACAAAAGTTGAGTTAATTTAAATTAACTAGTTTAATATGATCAGTTTTGTTTCTTTCATTAATTTAAAGGAGAAATGATCCCAATTGATCTAGGTTTTTTTCCTTACTGCTTCTTTTTCGTTCTTCTTCACTGCATTGAATATTAAGATACCCTCTAATTTCTTTTTGGGGAAAAAAAATTCTTATCGTTTTTAGACAAGGAAGCCAGGAAGCACATAGGGCAGATACACATCAATCCTAAATTAAAAATTTAGAATAGAATAGAATAGAATAGAATAGAATAGAATAGAATAGAATAGAATAGAATAGAAGTTGGAAGGGACCTTGGAGGTCTTCTAGTCCAGCCCCCCGCTCAAGCAGGAGAACCTATACAATCTCAGATAAGTGACTGTCCAGCCTCTTCTTAAAATCTTCAGTGCTGGAACACCCATGATTTCTGGAGGCAAGCTGTTCCACTGGTTAATTGTCCTCACTGTCAGGAAGTTTTTCCTTAATTCCAGGTTGCTTCTCTCTTTGTTCAATTTCCAACCATTGTTTCTTGTCCTGCCCTCTGGTGCTTTGGAGAATAATGTGACCCCTCTTCTTTGTGGCAGCCCCTCAAATACTGGAACACTGCTATCATGTCTCCCCTATTTCTTCTTTTCTTTAGATTAGCCAGACCTAAATCCTGCCGCCGTTCTTTGTATGTTTTAGTCTCCAGGCTCTTCTCTGATTTTTTTCCAAACTCTCAACACCTTTTTGACAGGCCTCATGATTCACCACTGTGAATTAGGTCCTATGGTCTTTTGGGGTTTCCTCTTGTCAGCTGCCTCCTAAGTTTAAAACTTCTGTCATCAGTGTGGACAAGTTTAACTTGTTTTTGTGATTCAATTAACAACCTAATTCACAGGCTATCTTGCTGAGAATTGTCACATTACCATTAACAGTCCTCATCGATGAGTGAGACACAAGAAAATTCTGCAAACATGAATGCCAGTAAACTGAACTTGGGTGCCTTGTAATCCCTTTAGTATTAGGCCCTCTGCTGGTTAATACATTGAACTATCCTATATATTTTGATCAAGGTAACAAAGATAATTGCAAAAACCCTATTTCTATAGAATCTTATTCAATTAAACATTAAAACACCACCCTTTTTTTCTTTTCTTCCTTTCGTTGAAATTATTGAACCAAGTATGGTTCAAAGATAAGATTTGAGTAACGTAATATGAAATCTCTTCTGAACTGAGCTTTTTGATGACATGGTTTTCTTGCAAATAATATTAAAGTTGTTGGCTGCTGCCCTTTTAAAAGTTTTTTTTAAATTCTCAATTTGGTGTATCATTTTTATATAGGGGTAGATTAATAATTAGGCTAAACAGAATAGGTATCTAGCTAAAGTGAAGATCTGTCTGGTTATTCAATGCAACGAATAAGAACATCTTGTCCATATTTGGGCTTAGAGGAGAAAAAGCAGCCGAATGTTCAACGGAACAAACAGAAGAAAGGGAAGGGGGGGGGGAAATGAAAACTACCCATATTGCTTTGGAATACAGTTTTTATATGAAACTGTCCTTTTGTAATTCTTATTTGTGGCAAGGAATTGGGAGTTGGTCACAAAAACCTACTGTTTATCTAATTTAGCCTTGAATCATAATTACTAATTACTCAGTGTTATTTTTTAAAATAATCCACACTCTTAAATACTGTGATACAGACTAAAATATTCCCAAATGATTGAGATGCACTTGCATTGTAAATTTTCAATTAAATTAACACTCCAATGAATAGACATTACTGAAATTGAGACAGGCCTGGGTTGAAAAACTGCATGGAAAGTGCAAATGTATTATGGCTGGTTACTTTAAAAAAAAAAAGACTTTGTTGCAAGAATGCAACAAAGAATTTAATAACACCAGACCATCAGAATAATCCTCATTTTACCTATTTTTTTCTATTTCCCTAGCAATCAGCATAATTATTTTGTCTTAGACAAATGCATTTCTCCCTAGCCACTGCTATGATCTGGTAGAATCTGGTCATGCAACTATTTGCACAAATGAAGCAATATTTGTGTGATTAAAAATGATAAGGCAATGACTTTCTTTATCTACTGGCACAAGTTCGGTTAATTTGATTTTCATTCATAGCTTTTTTTTTTTTTGCTGTGTTATAGTAGAAATAACAACACAGAGACAGACACCTAAAGACCCCAAGAGAAAATGACACTCCATTCTGAGCTATTTTGACGATGCTCAAACATTTATAGGCAAACTCTTGAAGTCTTAGCAACTTGATTAAATCTAAACTAGAATTCTCATCAGCTCTTTTGGACAATTTTCTTGAGGGATTACAAACACGGGAAATAAAACTATTCAAAGTATTTTTTTTTCCAGAGGGCCAAGTGAATTTATATTTCACTGATATTGCTAGCTTCATTCAATCTGAAAATCAGAGTATATTTGGCCCTGTTCTAAGACAAGCAACAACTACAGCAGCTTCAGTGTTTTCTACCTGTAATATTACACATGATCTTAAATACATCCAGCAGAGTTCAAGATTTCTTTGTCCTAGGCAGTAATTGGGGAACAAAATCAAATCTCAGAGCTATTCAAAAGAGAAAAAAAAGAAGGAGGTAAGAGAAAAGATGGGAACCAAACTGCAGCATATATCTCTTTCTAAGTAATATATCTCTTTCTAAGTAAGAGGCGTAGTAAATTGTCCTTACTTCAAAGAATGTTCCTGCGTGCTCTAAGATCAATTGGCTGGAATCAGGTTTGTTTTTACAGTAGGTAACATACATCTGAAACTTATCCGCCTGAAAAATTAATATTAAGAGAGAAGGAAAGTCAAGATTAGGAAATGTAGTTGGGCTATCCATTTGGCTTTCACTGGAATGAAATAAATCCAGCTGGATATATTTCAGATTAATTAAAAAAGTGTATTTATTTAGCTTCAGAATGCAATATGACATATTGGAATAGACATGATGAAATGTTTTGTCATTAGCACTTTGAAAATCTTACCAATTGTACCTACTGACACTCTTTAAAGTCTTTTTTTTTTAAATCTCCCCTGGCCATGGAAATATGGCCAGTACAACTCATAGTATGAGCTAATCAGAGTTAATTAGATTATTACATGATATTTCCCTAAAGTCTCCCAATCCAAGTATTGTAGTAACATATGGCTACTGCCCACTTTCATCATTTTGCATGTACATCTATGTGATAAAGAACTAAAATATAGGGAGGTAAAAGATTATAGTTCATTTCTGTGAATCACAATGAAGAACAAAATAAATGATGCCATTTTATTCCTTTCAGCAATATACTGTATTTCTCTGACAAGCTTCCTGGCTTGGAATGATTCATCTAATATTTTAACTCACTTATATACCGCATTGATCTTATGGACCCTTGGCAGCAGGAAGATATTATATGATGAGTTCTACCTACCAAGGGGCAATCAGTGATTTAATTAGATAAGTATGATTACTGCTTAAGGGAAAAAATTAATTCAACAAAGTAAAATCCACCCAGATTTGCTCGAAGAATACCAGGTGTCTCCTGGAAGAGTTTAAAGAAGTCAGGTTAGCTGTCACAATGGCTTAATCTCATGCAGTGTACAAAGAAAATGGAAAGCCTTTAATCACAAAGATACAGCTATCATCTTGACTTTTGTGACTCCACCAATGACTGCTCGTGAAGAATACCTTACATTTCAGGAATGTATAAGAATAAGCAGGGTTTTGGAGACAGGAAAGGAATAATTCTGGCTGCTAGCACAATCTGTTATATCACAGAAAGAGTGAATATAACCTACCATTTTGGTCTCTTTAAAGGTGTACAAAACCTAAATGTATAAATGTATAAAACTTTCAAAAATAAAGAGTAATATGTTTAGACTTATTACCCAGGTGACAAAGCAGTGACCAACATCTTCAGGAAGTTGTTCGTATTTTTCCAGTTCTTTCAGAAAAATACTGGAAAGAAATGAAAACAAAGGTAGAAATTAGTCAGGGAGCCAAAATGGCAATGGGTAAGCAGCTCTGAACTTAAGCTTCCCAATTCCTTTTTCATCTTTTACTCCTTTATTGTTTTACATGAGAGGCAAATGGCCCATAATGTTATTGAACAGATTCTCTTTATGAGATCAACATTTTGGCCACAATTTTAGTTAGGTATGCATTTTTTCCAGTACTGCAGAACCTGCCCCATTCCTAGTGGCAATGAGGGAGGGAACCACAGAGTCAAAGCGAATATTTATTTTTAGAAGAAGTACACAATATAAGAAATATCTGTCTCAGGGATTGTTTCTCTCCAGTTGTTTTTGTCCATCTGTTTTGGTCCAGCTGGGTCGATGCATCCTGGTTTCTGTCATCTTGTGGGACCCAGGAAGCATGTGTACTCGGATGCAATTTCAGGAGAACATTCTAACAGAATAACAAAATAACAGAGTTGGAAGACACCTTGGAGGTCTTCTAGTCCAACCCCCTGCTCAGGCAGGAAGCCCTGCCTATACCATTTCAGACAAATGGTTGTCCAATGTCTTCTTAAAAAACCTCCAGTGTTGGAACATCCACAACTTCTGGAGGCAAGTTGTTCCACTGATCAATTGTTCCACTGTCAGGAAAATTCTCCTTAGTTCTAGGTTGCTTCCCTCCTTGATTAGTTTCCATCCGTTGCTTCTTGTCCTGCCTTCATGTGCTTTGGAGAATAGGTTGACCCAACAGAATGACCTCCCCCATCAGAGATAAGCTGCCCAGAGTTTGACAGGAGTTGGACAGTCTATAAATATAATTTAACTGAATACACACATTTTTAAAAAGGGATCATTCAAGGTCACAGATGGCCTAAAAGTAAGTAGATGAAATTAAAGCAGATTTAATACTTAAGTAAGAATTTATTTTTGTTTTGAATTGGCTACAGCTTAAACAGAATAGGATAGGATCCAGGTATTTGGCAGCCCAGTTGCCATGATACTTTACTCTCAGATCACCTGTAAGGAGATAGTCAAAGTTATGGCTCCATTAAAATGTGTGGCTTTTGAACAGCTACTTCCACATAATTGTACAAACAGAATGCTAGTTTTAGCTGCACTGGTGCTTGCAGCTATTGCCTAACGTTCTTTATAGGGAATCCCCATTTTGAGAAAAGAGGTGCCATGACTGCACTAAGCTCTATAGTAGATCTTGTCAAAATTACTTACTCACCGTCAACATGGTACCCATGTCTTACTCAATGAATCAACATAATAACAACCATCAACAGCTATGATGAATACAGAACCTCCATCATTAAAGCCAATTATGTTAGATAAAAATCATTTCTAATCCTGTTAATTAGTAATTAATTTTCATCGGCAGCAATACAATTTAAGGAATAGATAGGATGGAGTAGCTACCAATGGCAATGGTCAAGACATATTAGTGTTACAACTTCTTCTTCCATGTCAACTTCCAGACACATCACTTATTTGGCAGAAGATAGTTTTGGCCTCCAGTACAGCCAAACAGCATACTATATGTCTTAGTGGGAAGCATATTTACACTGTCTCCATCCTGATATGATAGAACATATGTCTAAGAAACAATAGTGGCATTATCTTTTATATAGGAATTGTATTTTTCATTTTCTGTGATGTGAAATAATAACATATCTTAATATGCTTAGAAAACATACTTGTTATGAAAGTCATATATCTCCTGGATATTTCCAAATATTATGTGTTCCTTGTTCAGAATCCCTGGTGGTATCTCCTCTACTCCACTTGTCATTTCCCAAAGGTAGGTCTAGAAAACAATGTATTATTTATTTCCTTTACAAATTTGTACAGTGCTTAAGCACAGAAAAGTTTTATATATAGCCAAAACGTCGCCATTTATTTTTCTTGGTAAAAGCAGAAAATATCCAAGAAAATTGTTTCTAAGTTAAGTATGCAAACACCATGAACTAGAGGTCCCCAACCCTTAGACTATGGTCCATTACCAATCCATGACTTGTTTAGAAGTGGGCTGTGGAAGCGATGTGCACATGTGTGCAGCTCCAGTTGCACACGTAGCGGGCACACATGCCCACCGCTTACAAAAATGGAGCTGCATGCACACGCACTCGCCCACAGTTTCCATAGAACCATCACCTCCCCCCCCCACTGCTGGTCTGCAAAGCCGGAAAGGTTGGAGACCACTTCCATAAACTCTTCAATGCCATGAATAATCTGAATACTCCAAAAGGAACTGCTGACCAATATTGTCACTCTCTTTTTATGCTAAACATAGAGAAATGGGTCTTGTAGTGATTAAAAATTGGACCAAGACCAGGGAGACTTATTTATTTTATTATTTATTTATTATTTATTATTTATTTATTATTTATTTATTAATTACATTTATATCCCGCCCTTCTCCTTACGGACTCAGGACTTAGTATCAAGTCTAGTTTCAGTCATGAAACCTCTCAAGGTAAGTTATTCCAAAAACTGGTGGAAAGGGCATTACATACACTGACTTGAAATCCTCGAGGAAAAGCAGAATATAATAATAAATAATTCAAAACTCTAGTAGTGCAGAAAATGTTTCAGGTTCAAAGCACCAGCTCCAGAATGTTTATTTTGTGACCAAAACACGTGTCTAATTGTTTGGGAAGTTTTTCAAAGTGACACACTTCTGTCTCAAATTTGAAATAATCTGCTTGGGGCTTACACGCTTCCCAAACAGTCAAAAGAGCCCATTTTGCATTAAGGAATGATTGATTTAAATTCAAGATGGGGAATTTTGAATTTGAAAGGTTTTGCACATTCCACAAAATCCTTTTTCCAATTTGGATGTCGCATATTCTTTCTCCTTCACTTACTCAGCTAGACCAGTGGTTCTCAACCTGTGGGTCGGGACCCCATTTGCGGTCGATCGACCATTTTACGGGGGTCGCCAAGCAAGGCTGTCCGCCATTTTTTTTGTCCGCCATTTTTCCCCCTTTTCCGGCGGGTGCCTTACCTCCCTTGGGCTGGGCCAGCTGGTGGTCGGCCTGCTCCGTCTCTGCCGCTTGCCAGCTACGCCTCGGCTGGCGCAGGGGGCGGAACCACGCATGCGTGGTGCTCCCAGGCAGGGAAAGTCCTCGACTTACGACCGGTTTAGTCCTCGACTTACGACCGGTTGGGGTCGCGGCATTAAAAAGGTTGAGAACCACTGAGCTAGACAGTACAATACATCTACTGAACGTGTAACGTGCCAGTTTGATCACATCATTTCTATTTATATTCCCCATTATTCCACTGATGTAGAGAGTCTGTCATAAGTACCTGTTGTGAATAAAGCTTTGTCAATCATTCACAGTAGTGCTGGCTGCGTGAATATTACATATTCTCATGAGGGAGAGAAGTTTTTGCCACATATAGAGAGAGTAAGATACCCCGGCTATTTCCTCTGTTACAGCAAAACATGCTTGCTCCCTTTAAAACCAAGGGCAGAATTCAAGCTGGAGCAAACTGCAGAAGGATGGGAGTTTATCACCTGTTCTAAAACCTCTGATTCAAGCTTGAAATATCAAAAAAAAAGGGGGGACACCAGTTTCTTGATGATTTTTGTGCTGTTCTATAATGTTCTTTATTTCTCTATACAGATTTAAAGAATTGTATGTAGTTCCATCATTTATGCATACTGAAAACATATCTAAAAAGTTATGTTTTTCTTCTAGAATATTCTTGGGAGTTGTAGTATTTTATACTAATATCTTCTGAGCTGTCTGGAGCATTGCATTGTTGGTTGTTTTGTTTTGTAATGCCCTTTTAGGTTCTGTCCCATGATCAGAACAGCTCTGTGTTCGTCTCCCCAACCTTGAACGCTGGCACTTTAATACTAATGGATACAAAGAGTTTTAAAAACATTTATCATTTCTTGACTACTTTGATGAAAGATACAAGTTTCTCTAGCTTGTTTCTGCTTGAAGACCACTTTTGGATTTCTTACTTTAAAAAGATTTTTTAAAAAAGTTTCAGTTTTAGGATTTGCTAATTGGATTTGTTATGATTATATAAATATTGTGTATTAGACAATTTTTAAGGTTTATGTTTATGTTTAGAAAAAATAACTATTTTGCTATATAGCTTTAGTTTACTTTGCATATTTTTATATATTTTTGTTTTAATTTATAGTTCAAAGTTACTTTATTATATATTTATACATTTACTAAAGAAAGTTGAAAGTCATTCTTTTTGTTTTTTTCTTTTTCTTTCTTTTTTCTTGTCACTTCTTAACTTCCCCCCCCTCCAATCCCTTCATTTGTTAATCTTTTTTTTATTAATTTGTATTTTATCCAGTGGTGGGATTCAGCCGGTCCACAATGGTTTGGTAGAACCGGTTGCTAATTTTTTGTTGACTTCGGTGAACTGGCTGATGCCTTAGCCCTTTTTCGCAAGGCTCAGAATAGACTGCCGGAAGTGCTTGGATGGCACTTCCGGAAGTTCTTTCCGAGCCAGGGAGGCCTCCCAGACCCAGAATGGCCCACCGGAAGTGTGTCCACATCACTTTCGGAAGTCTGTTCTGAGCTGGTGAGGCCTCCCAGGCCCAGAACAGCCCATCGGAAGTGCGTGGATGCCACTTCTGGAAGTCCATTCTGAGCAGGAGAGGCCTCCCATGCCCAGAACGGCCCACCGGAAGTGCATGGACGCACTAATGGTGGTCTGTTCTGAGCCTGGGAGCTCTCACCGGCTCAGAAAGGACTTCCGGAAGTGGCGTCCACACAGAGAACCTGTTGTTCAGATATTTGAATCCCACCATTGATTTTATCTTCCTTTGAAATTTAATAAAGTTGATTTTAAAAAATAAAAACATTTATCATTTCCTTTTTTCAATAAACTCTCATTACATTTATTTTGTAAGAAGAGTCCATCTACCAAGATTGTAGGAAGGAGGGGGGAGGCATTATATGACCAGGAAGTTGCAATATGGACATTTCATATTTTGACATTTCAATTGCTCAGTGCAGGCTGTGACAGCCATATTCCTTTGACGCCCAACACCATGAGAGGGTGGATGTCAGGTGAGATGAAAAATAGGTGATGGTACCAAAAACTACTAATTTGCCACCATAAAGCAGAAGGAATTAATTAGGTTTTTTCTCTTTTTTCCTTAAGTTACATTTGGTCAACAATCTGTATACTACTACTACTGAAATAATAATCATTATTATTTTTCAAATCTTTGGTATACTGTATACAAAAACTCATTACATCATATGATCTTTATATAAAACATTGTGTTCATTCTTCCAAGGCACCATACCTCTAAACATTCATGCAGGTCCCTAACATAGGCCTTCTCTGTCTGAAGTAATTCAGCCATGATGAACCTACAAGGAGAAATGCTTTTGCATAAATATATAGAACAAGCACACTGACACAAACACAATCTTTCAATTTTGTCTGTCTCGTAATTGTGTGATAACATTTCCGAGAAAGAATTATAAAGACTGCCTTAAGCCTTTTTGTAGAAAAGATAAGTTGAAGTATAATATATAAATATATGAATAAAACACAAGAGAAGATGAAGATATATATGTTATCTGTCTGTCTAGAATGATGGATGCTAAATATTTATGCAACATAATTGCACTGATATTTTTTTTCTCTTACTGCGAGTTCTCAGACTTTAACAGATTACTGTTTTCTTTCAATGTTCCAAAACTCTATTTAGAACATATTGGAGTATGAATACATTTGAATTTGTTGTGAAATATAGCTATCTTGACATTACTATGTAATTTACATAATAATAATTAACATTTCAGAAACTGTAAAATTTCTGGAATGCAGAAGAAATATTAGTGCTGTTAACCTGACTGAAGTAATACAATTTGTGTTTTTAACTTGATAAATAGGAAAAGAAACTATTTAGTTCCCAACCAATGAACATGTAAAGAACAAAAGAGAATACAATTTCTAACATAATGTTCTGTCACACTGCATTTTGATATAATGCTTTTTTTTTGCTTCCTTGCTAATAGCATCACCATTTTTTAAACCATTAAATGAATAAAGGCTATAATAAGGCATGGAACAATACTTCTACTGATCATGGGAAAATTGAAGATCATATTGAACAAGAAACAACTTCTTGGCTAGTTCCCAATGAATAATCCCTTAGAATACTGAGATTTCATCAGTAACAAGCACGATAGCAATTGCTACATGCTTGTAAATATTTTATTGTTTCAAACACATCTGCAACAAAATATGCAAGTAACATGTCATTACCCAAAACAAAATAGATGTGCCCTTTTCTGAAATTAAACAACGACCACAAGCACCACTACAACAACAACAACAACATAATCATCATCATCATCTGGATTGGATTTATCCCAGACTTTCTGTATCCATATGATTACATGTTGTTGTTCTTCTATCTCTGTTCTGGCCATTTGCCAGAATAACATTCAGTACAAATGTACAGAACATGATATTCTAGCTGTCTCACATCTGGCTAAGCTTGCTGACATGCTGAGAGGAAGCGGTTGCTTTTTGCAAATTGACATATTACTGAGGCACCTGATTCTCATCACTTACTCTTTTTTCCTGGCTGACTTTCTCTTTTCTTCATTGGCTTCATGACTGGCATCACGTAGCCTTACTTCACGATCAGACAGACTTGCTGGAATGATGTCCAGCTCCAGGTCTTTATTATCCTGAAAAAAATGTAGTGACACACAGCTTTAATAAATTGCTATGCTTTGTGGAAAAAAAATTAAAGAAATGCAAAAGATGTACCCACAAAGTGAAAGAGATGAAAGGACAACAATAGCACTGGAGGAAAATATTTCACAGTGCTAAAAGGCCAAATGCACTAAAATATTTATAAATTATTAGTTATAAGAATATCAGATCGACAAGTAGCAGATGATGAAAGATTCTGAGAAGTTTTTTCCTCCCACCATGTGGGTCTTCTTAAAGACAATTAGAGTAATGAAAATAATCTTTCCTGTTTGCTGAAACACATAAGGTAGCTGATGGGGGAGTGAGATGGGGACTTTGTTTTTTTTTCCTCTTCCAAAATATTGATCCTAAGACTAGATTTTGATCCTCTCCATGGTAGATACAAGCATACCCTACCTAAATTTGTTAAAATGGGGTGCAAAGGATAGACTTGGTCCTTCTCAATTCAGTGGCCTGATCTCAGTTAAAAACACTGAATATCTCTTCTTTTTTTTGCCAGTTTTCACAACACCTTGCTGTCTCATATTCCTCTATCAGCTATTTCCTTCCCTCATGCTCAGAAGCAAATTTGGGGAGAAATAAATGAAGCTCTAGCAGGGCAGGGGAGGCTTTAAGTTAATTTTCATGGTGAAGCACAACAATTTTTCAAACCTTTACTTAGGAGAAAAACTCTTTTCAGTCATTCCCCTCCCCTTACAGCTTATATATTTATGAGATTATTGTTTGCTGGGTATAGCAGAATGGATGAATTGCACCCCATGGTAGTTTAACCATGTCATTCCCTAGGAATCAAGTCAAGCATGTTATCTGCAGCTAGAGGCTTAGACTGAAAAGGCCTTAAACAACCTTCTGAAGGTCGCAACAGTTCTCACATTTATGAGTGGATTATTACTTGGTCATCAGATAGAAATACTATCAAACGAACACCTTCCTACTATCTATTCTATCTATCTATTCTTGCAGTGGAGCTAAATGTTGTGTTCCAAAATCTACTTTGGGAGATTTCCATGCTGCACCAAAGCAAAACAGGACAGGGAGGATGGGAAAGAATCTCACGTATCCCAAATCCAGGCGTCTTTCTTAATAATGGTATGTCAGAAAAACATGCAACTTACAGTACCTCTGTATTGATCCCAAGAGCTTTTTCCAAAGTGTAGCGGTACTTCCCCATTCTCAGTGAAAAATCCCGATAGCACTTGTCAACCGTAGTAACCCATTTCCTAATTTCTGTGGCGTGTGTGTGTCCTTTCTCCACGAAGCTATCGGCCAGCTGAATGAGAAGCTTCACTTTCTCCTTGGTTTGCTGTTCGAAAAGAGTTGTTCTTGGTTATCACATCATTTCACGGACATTCTGTTCCATTTTAATTCACAAAGTAACCATCTGGGCCTTGTATTTTTCACAAGTGCTGCTAATGTGAAATGTCCTTAAAATCTTGGGAGACAGAGTGTAGGTGGGATGCGGCTTTTTCCATCTAAAAGGTTTTTAAATCTGTACATTCTGTGTCAGATATCAGGGCAAGAAAGTAAGAATAAAACAGATCTGGTGGGTTTAATTTCACAGTAATTTTTGGCATTAACAGAACCCATGTGAGGAGAGGCACATGATTTTTGCCTAATTACTCTGCCTATAATCACTTTCTGGCTGTTCCAAAAGCTCTTTCCAACCCTTAAAAATGGTTTCCAGGAAAGAGGGGCAAGAGAATGCAATGGGGGAAAAATCAAATGTTTCATCTTGTGCCACTGGAAAGACTTTAAATTAGCATATAGCTCTTACTGAATATATGATGCAGCAATGTCGACTACATAGTAGTTAAAAACAATTCTATTTTGAAAAATAATTCTTTTCCACTGATATTTGTGCCCACTCAGTGGAATAACTTCTATAACTAAATAGTCTGATTCTGAGATAATCTTTTAAAAATAAAATAAAGAGAAAACAGCAGCTCTGAACAGCTTATGTTTTCACTTATTTCTATTAAACACTGCTGAATGGGAAATCATGCCTGGAAATTGACAAATAAGCAGTCCTTATGGGAACAGGCAACATATAAAATGAATAACTTGACATGAAAAACTTTCCCGAAATGACATTAGGATTAAATTATTTTTAATGGAAATAAAAACACGTTTGGTGTACTCTTTAAGGTATTGGACTAAGGTTGGAGAGACGCAGCCTCGAACTGACTTGCAGCCATGACTTTTAGGCCAATCACTCTCTCCCAGCCTAGCTCTAACAAATTATCCATTGGGTGGAACAGAGCTGGCTGGAAAACTGTGAAGCATGATTGCAAGCCGAAGTTAGAATGTAAAGAAGTGATTCTGTCTTAAAGCAGTTACATACAAGTAGTCCTCGGCTTATAACCATAACTGAGCCCAGAATTATGGTCATAAATTGCAGTGGTCGCTCAGCAGGTCACATGTCCACACCTGATTTTACAACCTCTTCTGCTGTGGTGGTTAAGCAAGCATCATGCTTGTTAAACAAATCCATTAGACCCAATGGGTGCTTTTGCTGGAAATCAGAAGTCAAGGCTAGAAACTATTTAAAAAATGCTCAAAATCACAAATAGCCATAAATGAGAGCCAGTTGCCAAATGCCCAAAATGTGATCATGTGACCATGGGTCATTAGTACCCTTTGGGAGAGGGGTCAATCATAACATTAAACAATCATTAAAAGAATGGTTGTTAAGTCAGGACTACCCATATATTGCTATAAAGTACTATAAAACCAGGTCTACTAATTATTTGTTTGTTTGTTCATACTTATATTTCACCTCTTGTTTTAGAGTTCAAGGTGGGGATTTCATTCCCATTACAACAACTCTGAAATAGGCTGGGATGAGAAAGTATGACTAGTTTAAAGATGAGCCTAAGCTTCTACGGCTAAGGATGGACTTGAACCCAGTCTAACACACTAACTACTACACCACATTTACATCTCATTTCTCTTAAGGAACCTTAAAATTGTTTTCCTAAAACAAATAAGGATACAAACAAACAAACCTTTTGCTCCCCTATATCACTGTAGAACTGAAGAGAATTGCAATATGGTGTTTGGATATTAAAAGTATACCATTAAGAGCTTCATTGGGTTAGTCTACATAGATGTTTAGATATCAGTCCAATTGTCCAAAATAATGTGAACTGTGTCTGAATTCTGAGAACTATAAAATATTTGAATAGGATAATGTTATGTTTTCATTTTTTTTTCTTCTGTTCAGTTGTATCTGATTCTCGGAGACCACCTGGACAAGCCCCTACAATTTTCTTAGCAAGGTTTGCCATTGCCTCCTTCCAGCTGAATTCTTCCCAACGTCAGGAATAGAACTCAGGTTCTCCTGGAGGCTAAAACATATAAGGAACGGTTGCTGGAATTGGGTATGTCTAGTTTAACAAAGAGAAGGACGAGGGGGGACATGATAGCAGTGTTCCAATATCTCAGGGGCTGCCACAAAGAAGAGGGAGTCAAGCTATTCTGCAAAGCACCTGAGGGCAGGACAAGAAGCAATGGATGGAAACTAACCAAAGAGAGAAGCAACCTAGAACTAAGGAGAAATTTCCTGACGTGTAGAACAATTAACCAGTGGAACAACCTGCCTCCAGAAGCTGTGAATGCTCCAACACTGGAAGATTTTAAGAAGAAACTGGACAGCCATTTGTCCAAAATGGTATAGGGTTTCCTGCCTGAGCAGGGGGTTGGACTAGATGACCTCCAAGGTCCCTTCCAACTTTATCATCATCATCATCATCATCATCATCATTATTATTATTATTATTATTATTATTATTATTATTATTATTATTATTATTATTATTATTATTATTATTATTATTATTATTATTATTATTACCTTAACCACTACACTAAACTGACTTTCCGATCAGATAACATATATCAGACTAACTTCATAAGTTATTTCACATATAAATATCTCACCCTCTTTAAACTGTACATAAGATTCGCATTGGTGTAAACAGTAAAGGGCATTAAACTCATCATTTTATGTATACAAATTCATGGTTTGATTTATTATGCTGCTCAAACAATTCCCTCCTCACCTTTGGACAGTTGTCTCAGCAGTGCCTTCCACAATCATATACGTATTGATTTCTTAATGATAAAACCTCATATTGTTTATAAATTATAAATACAGTTCACCTTGGCAGGTGCTTTGAATTCTCCATATTCTTTCAAAAGTTCCTGTGTTTCATCTGCTGATTCTCCAGTGGAAGTGTGAGTAGAGAGATAATATTCTCCTGTTTCCTGAATCCAATCCAAGGCCTACAGATGGGGCAAAAATACATTTTAAAAAATGGAACCTTATGATACTACAAGATTAACACATTTTATTATATGGCCATTTATCCTGAACAACATTTTATTATATGGCCATTTATCCTGAACAGAGTATTACATTTCTGTGTTCCTAATGTTCAAAATATCTGAAAATACTAGCACGATTCAGGAGCAACTTTCACCTCAAATTAAAAAAAAAGTAAGAAAATGTGTTGTGCTCTATACAGGATGCCATTATCTGCTCTAGAGTCTAGATAATAGCTCAGGCAATTAATGTGAGAGAGCTGATGGTAGAAAAATAATTTCAGCACCATGGCCAGTACAATAGATCACAGAAAAAGAGATTGGTTTTTTTTAGGACCATGGAGAGCAATCTTACAGCAAAATTCTCCCTTCCACCAAAACACTGATTCATCCTAAAGGTTTTATAGAGAAAGCAGGAAAATGTCCCTAAATGTTCACCAGTGCTATTCATTACTTGCCTTTTGTTTTTCCTCAATAACTCACCGCACACTTTCCCCAGTAGCTCACTAAAGCTCCTTTTCCATTATTATGTCCTAAGTATGAAAGTCCATTTGGTTCTCCTGCTATAATACTGGACTGAGTTGCCATTTTTGTCTTCAGTGGACTCTAGTTTGAGCCCTCTTCTTTAATCATGAATGATTCTTATGAGAGGGAACTCCCCTTATGGCGAGGCTCAAACCGTCACTGACATGCCCAAAATTCTTCGCAATACAAGGTAATGATCTATGAAAAGTTCTTGCTCACAAGACGAACGCAAAGACCACAAGAAGAATGCAAAGACCACAAGAAGAATGCAAAGACCACTCCTCCAAGTCAAAGGGAAGCACAGTTCACACAGGCAGCATAGATAGGATCCTAGAAGGAGGTTCCAGGTTAAGAGACTCGTTCTACTCCTTCTAAGAATTGCTATTGCCCAGAACAGTCTTTGGTGGCTCACTCCCGAACAAAAGGCTATGTAGGGCTCTAAATGCAGCTTTTTATAGAAAGCAGATCGTTCATTGCCTTGAATTCTGCAAAGTCTTTCACTTCTTTTCATTTCTTCTTTTTTATTGTTGTAAGCCACCTAAGAGTCGCCCAATGGTGAGATAGGTGGCAAATAAATTTAACAAATAAATACAGTCAAAACAGAATTCTGCAAACTTAAACAGGATGTATTTCTGATATGACTGTCATGTTATTCAGTCTACGCTGGCTGCCTGCTAGCCTAAGTAGAGGAGAGAACTGTGCAATTAACAAGGACTGAGAGTATACTAAGACATGTGCTTTTCTGGATCATTTTGTGAAATTTCTTTTGTGTGCCCATATACTGTAATGTTTTCAAGTTGCAAATCTAAGATCACTGGAATATGTGTGCAGGAGGAAAGGCTGTGCTAGACTTCTCACTGCATTATTCCTTTTTTTTTTGCTTTCAGCTATAAAATAAGGTGCAAAGGTATCAGGTTCTCCCACGGACTGTACGGTAGATTATTAAATGAAAAGGTTGGTTTTTGGTTCACAATCTATTAGGCTTCATACTTACTTGGACTAATGGCCAGTTGGGTTTCGTTCCAAACTCTGATCTGTCTTGAACTTTTCCAGTGATTACAGTTAGGAAAGACTGGACATAGGACTTACAAGAAGTACATATCACAGATAAATTCTCCCCACAGGCAATCTGTTAAACTGTCTCACATTCAGTGTCATCCCCAGACAATGAAGAAAAGCGTGGCGTTTTGTCAAGTTACCTGCTTTGCACTGCGCTCAAAGACTACATATTGCTGACACTGATCCAGTCGCCTTTTCTTCAAAGTCCAAAAATGAAGAACACGATTTTCCCTCTGCAGCAGCTCACTCAGAATGGCTATGGAGGGAAAAAGAGAAGAGCTGTTTCCTTAGCTGGTTTGGTAAGCACAGTCAAAAGAAAGTGGTTACTGATTCGACCCTGTACTTTATCCTAAGAATGTAAGTTCCTAGAGTTAAGCACTTCAGATCAAGCTTTAAAAAAAACAAAAAACAGCAAGGACAGTCATTAACACAAACAGCTTAGTACGTTTTTGTGAACGTCAGTGAACTCAAAACTCTTGTAAAAGTAGAATACTTTCACTAGTGAAGAACACTTCAGTCTATGCTTTTCAAAACTCAGACACACACATACACACAGAGAGAGACCAAACAAACCTCAAACTATGTAGGCAATAAAAGTTTAGGCACCCAGCTACTCTATGTAACATAAAATACACTCCGTGTTTTCTTAGCATACTTTTTCTTTAAATATTTCTACCATTCTTTATTAAATTTAGCAGTTCTAGTAAATCATATTTCTCTGAGGATACTGCTTTGCAGGGACCTTTGAAAGAACAATCTAAAAATACATCTAATGACATTATAGTTCCCTAAATTTCCACTAGAAACAATCCTATTTCTTTAAATATATTAGATCATTTTACTGTCATTATCAATTCAGATGTCATAATGCGATGGAAAGTTTAAATTCAAAGATTTTTTCCATTCATGACCATGAATGATTAATACATCCATATATTAAAGATTGTAACATTTGTTACTGAAGTGTAGTGTCGGTGTAGTCCAAGATCATTGTGCAACAGAAAGAAAGCCCACCTATTCTCTATTTTTTAATTAATATTAATCAAAATTAATGAAGAAAAAAAATCTATTCAAGCTTTAATATAACAAATTCTACGGGACTGGTACAAAATAACATGAATAGAATAGAATAGAATAGAATAGAATAGAATAGAATAGAATAGAATAGAATAGAATAGAATAGAATAGAATAGAATAGAATATTCCTAATCTATACAAAAGAACCATTCCCTGCTTTCCGAGCTGTGAAGGAGAGAACAAAATATTTTGCAACTCCTTGGGACAGCTGATCATATTTGGTTTGGTCCACAAAGATGGTGAGGGCATGCGTTTCTGCTCTTATATAATCCATCCTTACCTGAGGAGATTATAAACAGAAGCAGTGAGCGTGTGGCATACAAGATAAGCTCAGGTGCCATTCCATTAATGTGGGGCTCAAAGAACACACTGACCTTTCACTTGCTGTTCAGGACCCCTGGTATGGCTCACTACTCCTGGCATGCTGACGTTGTTTCGATGAATGTACTTGAGAAACACTTCTGCATTCCTTCGTGCTAGTGTGCATGCCTGTGGGCAACAAATAACACCCCCAAGCCCAGCATGACAGTTACAATTTTGACAAGCAAACTGGAAGAATAAAACATTAAGGAACCTTCTGAACTGTGACTTGAGCTTTATTTTCCCTTTTGACCTCTGAAGAATGTTGATGTGCATGAAAAAATATGAGAGATCTTCAGACTGCAGTCAGATATAACCATCATTTTGGGGATGATATGAGGGAAAATATTACATAGAAACATTGACCGATTTCCAAGAAAAGTATTAATGTCCCAGGAAAAGTACTAATGTCCCAAGAAAAGCACTAATATCCCAAGTAGGATGTTAATCTAAAAGCTGCCAATATATTTCTTCGGAAGTTGATCCTTCAAAGTTATACAATTGTCTCATCTGTATGTTGCTACTTAAAAAAAAAAGCTGTGAGTTCTTACAAAACATACTTATGAGTGTTATGTGGTATTAGGAAGGAAAGCCAGTCATTTCCTCCATCAAGAATAGATATAGCTTAAAACCTAGTTAAACCAATAGTGGCATTTTAGTGCTAATCAAAGTCAAAGGTCTTTCCCAGGCCTGACATCCTAATGTACAAGGATTTGTACAATGTACACTGCACATGTCATTGAGCAACTACTGTAGCTGGGGAAGTGAGAATTTGGAGAGAGGGACACCTTGACAAAAGAAAAGGATTTGATTTAAACCTCTCAGCATAAGTACAACTTTTAAAAAAGGAGAAGAAAAAAACCTCCAAGAGGTTTCAATTGCTCCTCTACTTAGTAGCTTAATCTTATTTTCAAGGTAGCTGCCATGTTAGCTTAATATTTATTATGATTATGGAAGCAAACATCTCATTGTTACCTCTCCTCCCCACACAAAAACAAACAAACAAACAAACAAACAAACAAACAAGTAAGTAAGTAAGTAAGTAAGTAAGTAAGTAAGTAAGTAAGTAAGTAAGTGATATAAGGATATCTGCAAGAGGGACCTAAAGGCCTTGGGAATGGACATTAACAGCTGGGAATCCTTGACCTCTGATCGTTCAGCCTGGAGGCTAAAGACGCAGCATGGCCTTCTCCAATTTGAAGAGACACTTGTGCGGCAGGCTGAGGCAAAGAGGCAGTCCCGGAACCAGCGAAATCTGGGGGCTGGACAGGGGACAGATTGTATCTGCCCTCAGTGTGGAAGGGACTGCCATTCTCAACTTGGCCTTTTTAGCCACACCAGATGCTGCCTTAGGACCTTTTTCCAGAGCACGATACCATAGTCTCTCGAGACTGAAGGATGCCAATGGAAGTAAGTAAGTAGACATTTGCCCAAAGTTGTCTTCCTTTATGTTTTCATGCTGGCTATTCTTTTGTTTTTTTTAATGTGGCAGGGCACACAAATATATTAGACTTTTGTTTTTGCAGAAATGTTATTTTCTTAGAATCAACATTGATGATACACCAAAAGTCAATGCATAACTATTCTATTTAGGCTAGTGGAATATTCATATGAGATAACATGACAGCAGCAAATGTGTGTGAGATCAGCTATTCCTTTTCAGAATAGAAAAAGTGCAAGCTAAATTTTTAGTTTTAAAAGAATGAGAGGTTAAGGCAAGCAATCTTTGAAATGGATAATGTTACTGAAAAAGTCTGTGTTTGTTTTATTAGGAGATTCTAGGCATGAAGAAACCTTAAGAACCCTCTATTTCATGGCCAGTCATGGTTCAGGCTATGCAGGCATGAAATCATTCCAGAGAAGAACATACATTAGGAATGCATGCACACGTTGTTCTGCTTTTATGGCTCTTATTATAAAATAAGATGAAAGATACCTCTGTCCTACAAAGCACAGTAGATCAAAGACAGAACATAATTTATGTTCCTACAGACTGGTTTCCATCCAAGAGTTAGTACCCAACTTACTTCTGCAATGAGAACAAAGGAAAAAAACAACTGCTAAAAACAGGGGAAATAGACGGGACCTTGAGAAAGGCTTCTTTCTGTTCCAGATGTTTGCTGATTAAGGGAATAACATGATCTATCTCAGAGGATGGTCCCAGCTTATCCCGACCTCCACACCAGTCTTCATCTCTTCGATATTCTTGCTCCAAACTCTCCAGCACACTGCAAACCTTAGACATAAGCAAGAACACAATTGTTCAGTTATCAAAGTTACCTTTAGAAACAGAAACAATTTACCATTAAAAGCATAATTCTAACAGCTGACCAAAAATGTACGCCTGATTCACAGGTGTTATAGGAAATTCATCATACAGGAAGTTGAGGTGAAGCAGCCTTTTTCCCATTTGAACCTTTACAAACATATTAGATGGCAACTCCCATCATCCCCATGCACTATGGCCATTGATAAGTAGTAATGGAACTTGTAATACTAAGCAACAGGAAGAGTCTAGACCACGGGTGTCAAACTTGATCGCGTCAAGTGATGTATCGTGACTTTTTTGCCTTTGTGGAGCCAGGATGGATGTGGCCTGTGTGTGGTGCATCTAGCCCACAAGCCACCAGTTTGACACCCCTGGTCTAGACTGAGAAAAACTAGGTAGGAACACAAACTATTCAAAAATGTCATATTAACAAGACTGTGTATATACACACACAATCTTGTCCAAGATTGACTCAGCCTTGCATCCTTCCGAGGTTGGTAAAACGAGGACCCAGATTGTTGGGGACAATAGGCTGACTCTGTAAACTGCTTGGAGAGGGCTGTAAAGTACTGTGAAGCGGTATATAAGTCTAAGTACTATTGCTAATTATTCTGTATTGCTTATGTATTATATATTAGTATTTTGTAAAACTATTAACTATGATACAAAATGTTCTATGTCAAGCAATTGAACAGCTTCAGTTATATTTTATACTTGTAAGTTAGAAGAATAGTATCATTTGATCTCCCAAAAGTTTAAATTTTAACCATATGAAAAATGAAATATCATAAAAGAAAAACGCCTCCTTTTGGATTTGTAACGGTGAAAGCTTGTAGGCCAACCCATCGAGTGATATATTTGATTGTTGTCACCAGGGTGGGTGGAGGGTTATTGCTTTTTTACTGTACTTGTATTTATCACTGTAATCCATCTGGAGTCACTGAGAATGAGTTGGACAGCCGTATAATTTTTCTTAAATAAATTCCAACCACTATAGACCATGGCTTTCAATCTGCAACTGGGGCAACAGTGTTTTGGCTAAAGATAGCCAACGTTTTTTGGATAATCTATTCATCCAGGCAACCTCTCTTTCTTGGGTGATGTAGACTAAAGAGTACTTTGAAATAACATGGATGATTTAGATAGTGCTTGAAAAGATTTTATTGCATGTAAATGCAATCCCTTCCCTCCATGCTTCTCATCATGGTAATTTATGTAATAGGGTTTGCTAATTAATAAATCCAATCTAATTGCATTTCCTTCTGATACATCTTGGACTGGGTATATAGAACCACCCCTTTTTTGGAATAGGGAAGGCTGGGCTAATGGTTTTACTTTGCCATTTCAATATCTGATTTATGTTGGTTGCAGAACATGGGAAGAAAGCACTGCCCTCAGTCTTGTTAGCTTCTGGTGATGGCAGGGATGATGGTGGGTGGTATCATATATCGAGGTGATTTTGTACCTTGCCAAAATGTGGAGAGAAATGCATCAGCTGATGTCCAAGACACCCTGTAATGCTGCTAGTCCTTAGTTCAGGAGCTCCCAAACTTTTCTATCCCCCGCACCCCTAGAACGCTTCTGATATATTCTGACACCTCTTACAAAAGTTCAAAATAACGGCAACAAATTATGCATATACACTATAATTTTGAAAACCCAAGTTTTTGCACCCCCTGGAATATCATCTCACACCATCCGGTTGGGAACCACTGGCTTAGTCCACTGCAAGATTAATTTACCTTTCCATATCCTCTCAATCAACTCAATCCTTGGCAGTGCTTTAAAATCATTTTGCCACATTCATCATGTTCCCAATAGGTGACCTTTTAAATTATACTAAGGCAGGGGTAGGCAACCTTGGCTCTTTTATGACTTGTGGACTTCAACTCCCAGAATTCCTGAGCCAGCATTCTGGGAGTTGAAGTCCATGAGTCATAAAAGAGCCAAGGTTGCCTACCCCTGTACTAAGGTAATATAGGTAAGTCCTTTGTGCTCAATATTAGGGTTACCAAATATAAACTTCAGTGAACACTGATGTTTATAGATGCCTAGAAAAACAAAGACTATAACACTATGTGCACTATGGCCGATCAGTCTATGTTACTGAATAATCAGTAGCAATTCTAAACAGTAGCAATTACCGTATGTCTTTATGTAATGGTCATTTCAAATAGTAGTGGAGCTATTGCAAACAAACTGAACAATGAAGAAGGCCTTGTTCTTCTCACCTGCTCTGAAGTTTTATAGAAAGCAACAGAGGCATTGACCAGTTTTAGCCGGTCCTCCATCTTTAGCATGAGTTGCTGCCAATGCAAGGCCACTTTTTCCGCACATTCCCGGATGGCATCAGCATCGTAATGGCCGGCCTGCAGTAACACCTCTGCCTTTTGCTGTACTTGGAGAGCACTCTGGTGCGTCTTCTGCAAGGAAGTGGCATGAAAGAGGGACTGTATATGTAGGGAGGAAAGAGAGATTTGTACAGATGTGCCAAGTAAATGGTATAAAGAGGTGAGGTGAGGTGTGAGCATGAAAAGATGAGAGAATGAAACACTTTTTAGAATTAGCATTCTGAACAGTAAGCATTCTATACATTCATGCAAAGGCATTTACTGATATTACTGATAATCTAGATTTACATCCCAATTTTGGGTAAAACAGCCCCAATGGCATTTAAGTGAAAAGGATACTGACATTAACCTGGTATGTTTGCTGAACAGTTCTGTAGATTTTTTTTTTTGCATCATTATTAGCCTAAGATATGAAAGCCCATATTCATTTTAAAAACAGATCTGAGTATGTGTATTCTATTCAAAACATATATTTTTACTACAGTGTGATCATCTTGAACAATTGAACCTCTGTATTTGAGAGCTTATGTGAAGCTTACTCATGGAAAGTAGTCCTATCACTGTAATAATTACAGATAATTAAGAGGAAGAGATTAAAGGATTTGCAAAGAAAACACCCAATATATCAAGCTAAACTTTCTTCACTTTGTAGATAAGTAACATGCTGCAATATCAAGCACCTGATCTTTAATATTTAATCTACTAGCCCTCTACTCTTGGCAGCATGAAAAACCACATTTTATCGGGGGAGGAAGGGCTCTTAGTTGGTATCAAGGTTAAGCATCTCTGAAATATAGCAAGGTATACAAATAGGAAATAAATATCTTGTTCCACAGAAGTGCTTTATTAATGCTGCCAAGATGTACTGAAAGATAAAGAAATTCCTCAATGGATGATAAACCCTTCCTTTCCTTTCAGGGCTTCCCAGCATGCCAATATTTGTATAAAAGTGACTAGTACTTATTAAAATATTGGGTAAATGGATTTCTGGGAGCATCTACTATAGTCAAATACCAGGAAAATTATGATTCTGAATCAAGAGACAAAGTATAGTTAACATTTTCTGTTATTCTACTTAGGCAATTTTCACAAGTGACCCCAAACACAATTGTGAATTTCCTATAACAAAATTAATCCCTAAGCAATCCCTCATTATCCACAACTTCATTCCTAAACAAACACTTGGGGGAAAATATTTACAAGAAGTAAAACATGATGAAAATCCCAGCTGTTATTCCTAAAATACATATGTATGCAAACTTTGGGATACAGTAGCTCATCTGCTCATCTAACATACATCTTGTATGTGTCCAGTGGCTTAATAAATTAGAACTGAAGTGACCCAGCTTAAGCCACAAAGGTCCCCCATGATCTTCATTGGGCCAATCACTATCTCCTGTCTGATCTGCCTCATCTGATTATCTTGGAGATAAAAAAAGGAAAGTTTGCTATCCATAGTCCCCTAAACGTCTTGAAGGTGCAATGAGATAGATAGGAAATAAAAGAATTGCGGCTGTTTCTGGATAAGCTAATTTTTTTTCTCTTTCCTAATACAATATCATAAAATACCACAAATTGAACTATTTCCCTCATTTAAAAAAATGATAGAATAAACATTGGGACTTAGATATACTGAGGATCCCAGGAAAAATAAATAGATACTATTGCAATGCAATGAAGGAAATTAAGATCAAAAGCAATCCTTTCCTTTTATTTAGCACCCTAGAAATAGATTTTTCTGATATTAATTTGCATATGGACTACTGTAACCTTTGCTATTTGGTGAACAATATTCATATACATTTTTATACAGAAAGCATGTTTGTCTTGGCTGCATCAAATTACACATCTTGAGTGGAATATGGCAATCAGATATTTATTTATTTATTTATTATTTTATCTGGGGCAGGAAGGTTGGTAGTGTGTTAAGGTATTACTACTTCAAAACTTTGTGTGCTTAAAACAGCAACTGCCTGCTACAGCAACCATCTGCGGTTACAATGGTGATGAAAAACGAACGTTGCGACCAATCCTCACATTTATGACCTTCACAGGTCTGTGTAAAGCAAAGAAAAACTGAAGTCAAATCATCAGCATAGTTGTGGTTTCACTTAGCAATTGCTTTGCTTAATGACTTAGTTGCCAGTTCCAACTGCAGTTGCTAAAAGAGAACTACCTCCCATATGCACATACACATTAATTTTAGTAATAGGAAAGTTTAACTGTTAATTGGAAGTTATTTCTCCCTTGCTACTCTCCTACTCCGTTCAGATTATTTCCGAAGGCTCATCTTTGCAGTTTGCATAAGAAAAGAGAAAGTCAACATGCACATTACCTCTATGGCCAGCTGAAACTGCTCGTGCTCTCTCTGGAGCTGCTCAGCCTCTGACAAGGAACTTGCATTGACAAGACTGGCGTTGAGCATTGATTCTCCATTACGGATCCAGCCAAGGACCTGGGCAGGAAAAACAGACATTTTGAGACACAACTTTTTCACTTCATGAAATAGCTGGGTGGGTGGGTGGGTTGCAGTGTGGATAGCAGTGTCACCAGCATCCAGATGTTACACTAATCTACTTTACTAAGAATTCTTGAATCTGTATCTGGAACCAGTTTTGGAATAGGTGAGGAAGGTGAGACAATATCCAGACAAATTGGAGGTGTGATGAATAACAACATTAATTTTTCTGGTTAGAGAACTCATGCTCTGCAAGATTCAGGCCTTTTCCGCCATTTGACCCTGCCCCATGAGAGATTCTGTGCATCAGATGATGCATTTTAGTTCTAACTAGATTTAGTTTGAAAAATAAATTGTAATTAAATAAAAGAGATTGGTTTCGATGTAGACTAAGTGTAACTAACTTACTCTGGATCTCTATGCGAGTCTATGACCATAATAAAAATTTGGTTTGATTTGATTACTCGGTATCTAATCCAATGAGACCAAAATAATTTAATGCCCTCTGTTACAAAGAAACAAAACCCATATATGAAATACTGTAAATAAAGTACAAATAGTCCTTTGTTAAATATCGATAATATGTACATTACACAATTTTACTGAGTATATTGGATCAAAACATAAATAGAAATATATGAGATATATGATTTACAGCTAGTTAAATTTACTTAACAAGCTGCTCAAATTGTATGTTATCTAAAAGAGACAAAAGGCAATGTTATGTGGTTTGTTTCATGCAACTTTTTTTCCTGAAAAATACTTGCATTTTCCAGATACATGTGTCTGCAGCTTCTTTAATTATTTGACATGGCTAGAAACAAGGTACCATCAACTTTCTTTTTCTTTATTGTTTTCATGTTTGTAAAAATTGATTGTTTCAAAAAATAATCAACTGTTATTTGATACTCATCCAAAATCCATCTGCAGTAAGAGCAGGGAAATATGTACATTTCATTATTTAACTATTATTGCTATACAGTCAAACTTCTATTTTATATCTAGTAATCTTTTTTGCCGCTTCATCTCCCAGAACTCCTCCAAAATGGGGGGGGGGGTTCCTCTGGGATCCCCAAGCAACAAGAGTCTGCCCAAACCTATTCCATCCAAGGCCTGCTCTTTCAAGCAGCAATTACAGCCTCAATTGAACCAGGTGCTAAGACTTCAGAAACAACTACTAACTCCCTTTGAAATCCAACTGGGTATATGATGTCCCTGGGCCAGACCAAATAAGTCCTGCAGAATGAGATGACTCACAGCAGCCACTTCAGCATGGATGAGTGGGCATGACCAGGCGGGTGTGGCTGGGTCATGTGACTGGGTGCACATGGCCAGATGGGCACAGAGGAGTGGGCACAAATGAGTTGGCGCAGATGACTCAGCACAGATGACTCAGTGCAACTAGGTGGGCATGGACAGGTCAGCGTGGAACAAGTCATCCTGATTAACTGGATGTGGGGACAACTCAGCACCCCACTTTGGCTCCCCAAACTGCCAGCAGCCAAGCACATGTCTCCCAGAGGCTGCACTGGAGCCCGGCGGTGGTTGATCCACCACCTTCCTGAGAACAACTTCCCTGTCTTCCTCCTCCTCCTCCTCCTCCTCCTCCTCCTCCTCCAGCCAGACTAGAGACCTCATATTCTCCAGATTTTACTGTCTACACATCAAGGATGCTTCTGCCTCAAGTTCATTAAGTAAACCACGGGTGTCAAACTTGCCGCATCATGTGACGTGTCGCGACGTATTGTGACTTTTTTCGTATTGCCAGAGCTGGCGTGGGCATGGCTTCTGCATGATGCAACCTATCCTTATAAGTATTTATACCCTGGAAATACTTACAAGAATTCTAACTCCAGCAGCTATTTTGTCAATATCATAATAATTCTTTTCTTTAAATTCTTTAGCATAAAGAACTGTGAAAAACCAATCATTTATCTTGTGATATTCTAAAGATTTGCAGTGTCTTTTCTAACTTTAAATTTTCTACCTTGGCACTGAAGTTTATAGAAAATTTTATTAAATGCGAATAGAGGGAAAACAACAATTTAGAATTTCCATTGTGCTAAAGTGCAACCATCTGTCAGCATTCTAGAATGCTCCAGACTTTGTACTGCATCAGCAAAAGTTAAGTAGGGTTAGCAGTATGAAACTGTTTGATGGCAGTGTACTTTTTCTTGGCTTCTAAGAGCAAGAGCTACTTGTAATAAATTTAAGACCATTTGTTTTCTCAACTGTTCCAAAGTGAAAATGAAGTACACTTGGATCTCGACTGAAAATGGAGACCAAGCCAAAATCAATCCAGATTCCAATTTTACTAAATGATGTTACTTATGACTCATTCTTCAGGAAGCCAAATTTAGCCAATACCTACCACAGTATGACAGGGCCATGATATATTTTAATTCAGCTGCTTCCAAGGAAAGCTATTGCTGCAATAATTCACAAACTAATAAGCCATTGACTTTTTAAATATGAATCTGAACCAATAAAATCTTGCCACGGACTTCCTGAAAAGCATCTGAATGAAGAAGGCTCATAAATGCTTTTAAAGAAATTAATGACTCCACGGGTTGTCAGCCTTCCCAGGTAGACCAGAAATGAAATAAACCAGGTGAGCTAATTCTACTTTATTGCAAAGCTTCATTAAGAGAATCTTGCAAGTCTGAAAGTACATTGTCTTCCAATGTCTCTTTTCACAGTCTGCTAAAATAGGAAGGGATCCTTTCTAAGTTTCTTTCTCTGCCTGTTATGCAGCTGAAGGCTCCCCCTTCCGCTGCCTTTTATCTGATCACCCCCCTAGGCAGCATCTCCTGTCTCTCAAGGTAATTCCCATGTAGCATTACACAGGTACTCTCTTGAACTAAATTTGAATGTTCCCTTATAAACCAATGTTACTTAGTCTGCTCTTTTGGTTATTGGTATGGTATAATTAAATTATATTCATTGAGCAAATATTACACAGATAACCTTTAAAAATGAGAAGAACATTAGAGATAAAAACACGCAGAGTGTTAGAGACAGAATGAGAGGGCGTATTCCTAAATGGATGTAAAAATGAAACTGGAACATTTAAAAAGGGACCCTTAAAAATTAGTTGTAAATTCAAGGAAGAATGAGATATTTCCATAAGAGCTGTATAATAACTGAAATCATAAACATTAATTCTTTGAATATGATGTTGAACCCTGGAATCTTCAGTTGGGTCACATTATTTTTTGCAGGGATCATATATTGATCATATCATATCACCATATATCATAATCTAAAACAATATCAGTGGCTGCCGATTTATTTTTGAGAGAATAAGTATTTCTTTACGTTTGATTCCATCTTTATTTTTGCTTCCAGAGAGTTAATTTTCAAATCATAATATGCTATGGCAGATTCTGAAACTATCTGACAACAACGACAGGCAAAAAAGAGGATTCGATCTTACAAATATTTTCAAGCCTTATTGACTATTTTGAGCCCTGAATGAATGAGAGATATGTCATAAGCTTTAAAATGTAAGAAATAAAGAATGTTCCATAGTTTCCAACTTTCTATCTTCATGTGATAGCTTGAAGCTCATTTTTAAGAGCAAGGAACACATTTTTTAGAGTCCTCACACTGTATTCCAATATTTACAGCCCTTGAGGGTATAAACATTGATGAAAGTGGTTGAATAGAATTATGGAGCATATAGGTTGCTGAGCTGCAACAGCTAAATGTAAATTGAGCAAATGGTAAAGCAATCAAGCTCCTTTTACTTCCATATTTTGAATACATTCCAGACCAATAAACTTGATACCTCAAATTCACCACTCTCCTGGCCTAAACAAGCAGTCAATGGAATCATCTACACAACCATTTTTCTTGTTAACTTATATTTCATGTTCCTGCTTCAACATAAAATATTCATCCCACAAGACGTTTTTTTTTAAATGAATAGAATTATTGTCCCACGGGTCAATAATAATGCATGAATCAAACCTTAAGATATTTTTACATCAGTGTTGCTTTGCTTTATGCTTCATGCAAATCAAATACACTTTTTTCTGTTCCATAAAAGCCATTAGGATTTCTTCCTGCTTCTTGCACAGACTTTTATCAGCAATGAAATGTTCCAGACTTGTATATTTTTGAATACAAGTAGTATTAACGTTTACATGACCACTCCCCCACAAATACACCTCCCCAAGCATTTTTCTCAATTCTTGGACCAAATCAATGGCTTTGGTCAAAGCAGAAAGAGAACATGTCCTACTAGATCCTAAAATGAATGAAAATGATGATCGTTTGGGGACTTTTTTTTTCACTGTGTTTGTTTTGAATATGTATCACTTTGTTCAATATTCAGTTCTCATACAATATGAGATAAAAAAAACATGTCTAGCTGGATTTTTTAAAAATGAAACACTGAGAGAATAGAGCAGGGACGGGCAATTAATTTTCCAAAGGGGCCACGTGAGAAACTGGGACGGTTGTGAAAGGCCATCACCATGGCCACCATCACCTACAGCACCACCTACCCCCCACCCCCACCACATCCCCCGCTGTTTTTAACTGGACAGGGACAGTCGGAATGAGAGTTAACACTGGCGTTACTGCACGAGAGAACTTTCTCTAAATGAGATGGCAGCAATCAGTGACCTTCACAGCCCTCTCCCGTCTCTCTCTCTATCAGTCACGTGGTTCACTCGAGCTACCTGTACTGATACAGATGTGAATTTTAAGAGGCTACCAGAATCTGAAGGGTAGGGACAGGGCGTTTTAACAGCCAGCATGATCCCATAAGCAAAGAAGCAGAACAATGGTGAAAACCCTGACCTGCTTAACCTCTGCCTGCAGGTGTCGAAGCTGAAGGCACTGCTCCAGCCGTTTGTGCGTCTGATCAGCATTCAGCTCCAATTCGTGCTGTTTCTCATGAAGAAATTCCAGCAGCTCTTGCACTTGGATTGCTAGATCGATGTCCTTTTCACAGATCAGTTCGATGCCTGGAATAGAATAAATGTCCTCAGATGGAGAAACAGGCAAGATGCTCATTGCTCCCTTCTTGGGGGGGAGGGAAGGAGAGCCCGGCAAAGTGATATGACCTATAATGATATCGGACTTTGGTTGAAGGTAAATTACTTTAGACTAAACCCATAGCAAGAAAGTATTTCTTCACGTCTCTTCGTATCTCTATTAAATATAGATATAAAGAACACAAACTAGATCTTGGTTCGTTGTAACCATTAGTTCTCCTGAGTTAAGATGATATCATTCTTTCATAATGGAAATAAAAAAGTAAACAAAGGTAAAAGACTTTGTTTTAGCAAATGGAAAGACAAGACAATGTGCTAAGCACGGGAGCACCACAGTTAGTCATACGCTTTTCTTCCATGCAGTTTGTTCATTGTGAAGCACTGCATTCTGAGCAAGTTGTTTTAATAATTAGATTTGAATTGTGGCATTAAAATGTTCAAGAAATGTTCTTTGTATCCACTTACTACTTCACTTATTCATTTTAAAATGTACCAGATGTGCCTCAGTACTTCAGCACTTCAATTCTACTTATGGGAATAATGAGGTTAAATAAGAAAAGATAAAAGAAATGCATACCCATACAGGCATACCGAGTGATTCACGCCTAAGCTGAATTACGGCTATTAGAAAATTCAGTATTCTACATGACTGCTATTCCAAATCAGTAATCTTTTCAGATTTGTTTGAGCACCCCAAAGCAGACACTTCGTCACTTAAAGTCATCCACTTCTTCAGAGATGAAGGGAATGTTTATGTTAGGTAATTGACTAAACATATAAGCACATATTGTTTGTAGGCACTGTTTCCAATCCAATCCATTTGAAAAGAAGTATCCTTGTTTAATGACCAGTTGTTCAGTGACTGTTTAAACCAAAAACAATACTGAATAAATTATAGTAAAGACTGGGCAACATATGTATGGCTATCACTGTGTCTGTGGTGACAAGATCTGGATTCTTTTTTCTTTTAGGATTTACCTGGTTTTATAAATTCTGAGAGATTAAGTACGTTTCTATCTGGACGTAGGAAAATGTTTACTGTAGTAGGGGAAAATCAAATGACTTTTGATTTAATTTCCTTTGTATTTATTCCTGGTAGTCATCTCCAGTCATGCTATAGTCCATTTCTGTGAAGACAAATTTTGTCTCTTCCACTTACCTGAAGCTTGCACTTCCATGATGTACTGGTGCAAATCTTGCCCTTGCTGAATGACCTCAAATGTCATATTGTTCATAGCCATCTTCCTCTCTGTATGCCGCTGCAGCCGTTGTTCAGCCAAAGTGAGATCCTCGGTGTTGAAATCATTCATTTGACGCAGTAAATCCTCATTCCAGGCATCTAATTCAGCGGTCACCTTCAAAGTAAAAAAAAGAAGAAGCAAGGCAGAATAAGCATGCAAAAATCATTAAAATTAAGGTTACCAGGGGGAAAATATATAAAATAGAATATGTAACCACAGAAGAGAATAAACCTAATTACATTATTCCACAAATTTTAAAATTGCCATCGCATAAGCTACAGTGAAATTGAGAAGAGCTTTAAATTATGTGCTGTTTACAAAGAGGTTCATTACTGTAAAAAACTTAGAAAATCATTTTAGACTGAAAATTATGAATGCTTAAAGGAAATCTTCAAATTAGAGATCGTTAGACATGCCCAAATTAGAACAAATTAACTACCCGTGAGATTGCTTAAGCTTCCTTAAGCTTATTGTTTGTTTTTTTCAAAAGCATTTGATTTAAACAAAATGAAAAGAGCTGCCTTTTCAAGCATGCCAGTGCTTTTGAAATTATTTCTTTAAAATATTTTTTACCCCTGTTTTAAATCTAAAAATCCCCACAGGGCTTATATCAGTGGTGGCGAACCTATGGCACGGGTGCCAGAGGCGGCACTCGGAGCCCTCTCTGTGGGCACACGTGCCGTTCCCCAGCCTCGCCTCCCCCTGCAACCCCCTTCTCTCCAGCAGCCCCCCTGAAGGAGAGTCACCCCTGAGTGGGGCCCATGCGGAGCAGTGCAGCCAAGGACATGGCAGCCAGGCAGCATAGACAAGACTCTGCTTTCACACCCCATCATGCACAGTTGATGCTGCAGGGCGCAGGCAGAGGGCGTGACCGCCATAGTGCTGCTGGGCTGCCTGGGCGATCTGCGGTGGGCCCTGGAGGCGGTGAGTGGCCCTGTGGGCAGGCAGGATGGGGGATGGGGGGCAGAGTGGGGGCGGGGCAAGGGGTGGAGCAGGGGCGGGGCCAGTTTTGGGGCACTCAGTCTCTAAAAGGTTCGCCATCACTGGCTTAGATCATTATAAAAAACATATAATCAATTATGCGATAAGAATAACAGTGTCACAGAAGCAACAAAACCATCAATAGCTATCTTCATGCCTACAACTGATATCAGGTGAATCAATGCTTGGTAGGTTAATCTGTCTACTAAGCCATTGTTACTGCACTTTACCAAAGTTTGTTGAACAGCTGTAGTTTAATGGGTTCATATTATACAGAACCGTATACCATAGAGGTAATCCTAGACTTACAACCACAATTGAGCCCAAAATTTCTGTTGCTAAGTGAGATATGTGTTTAGTGAATTTTCCCCCTTTTTACGACCATGCTTGCCACAATTGTTAAGCGAATCACTGCAGTTAGGTTAGTAACATGGTTGTTAAATTAATTCCCCACTGACTTTGCTTGTCAGAAGGTTACAAAAGCTGATCACATGACCCCAGGACACTGCAACCATTCTTAAATATGAGCCAGTTCCCAAGCCTCTGAATTTTGATCACATGACCATGGGGATGTTACAATGGTTTAAGTGTGAAAAATGATCATAAGTCACTTTTATCAGTGTAACTTTGAACTGTCACTAAACAAATGATTGTAAGTCAAGGACTACCTGTGCTTTGCAAAGCACAATAGCTAAATTCACAGCAACCCAATCTTGCATCTCTCTCTACTTAAAAGTTAAATTCAACAGAATTCAATATTTTTCTACCTGATATAGAAGATCAACTATCATTCTTCATGCCAGAATGCTTATTCATATTAATTTGGCCTCAATAAATACTTTGTACAAGCAAATTGGAGGGTAACAGCCCTTTTCCACTGCAGTTCCCTAGCAGCTGGTATTCAGAACACGATGTCTTTGATTCTGGAGTTGGGTACGTTCTCAGCAGACCTAGTGCTACAGACTGATAAATTTGGAGCTAATGACCTAATGGTGATAGAAGGGCTTCCTTTAATGGTTATGTGAATTTTTGGAATCGTGAAGCTTTCCTCAAACATTATTCTATCAGTATTCCAAGCTTTCTAGCTACCATATGTTCCAGCAAAATACAAAATTAAGCAAAATGAAAACTATTTGTCTTGTAATAAAAAAAAATGCCAAACATGCACATTCGCCTTTTAGATTTACAGAAATCATGATTCCAAGGATTAAAATATTTGTATTTCAGAACATGTTAATCAACATATTTCCTTTGGAATAAACTTCGACCTATCAGTCATTTTCCCCACTATGAAAGATCACAGCAGAGAAGACCTGTGCTAGGGAGCTCTAAACTTCTGCCCAAATTCTAATCCTAAGCATATTGCAGTGAGTTGAAAACTCACCCATTTTGTATACAGATTATTGTATGCATTTATATTTTATTTGGAGCTAACAGAATTTGCCTAGTTAATATTTTCTATCCAGCATTCTGGAAACTCATATGAATCACCATTCTGCAATCATCTATCCTTACTGATACAAATTGTGCCATTATTTCTGCCAGAAAAAGCTCCTATGCCTCTACTTTCTATAGAGGCATATTCCATTAATAGCTTAAGCGTGCTGTAGAATGTAGGGATTCTTGTTTAATTATTAAATAGATAGAAAGACATCTGAAAATATTACCCATCTATTGATCCCTAAGAACTCATTTTATCAAATAAGACCTGTTCCCATTCCACATTTTGGAATGGCCAATACAAAAAAAAATTGGAATTCTGATTTTATATATGGTGATGGCAGCAAGATTGCTCTATGCACAAAAGTGGAAGGATGCCTCGATTCCCACCATGGGCGAATGGTTACAAAAGCTGATGGAATTAGCAGAGATGGCCAAATTGACTGTGCTGATAAAAGAAAAGAATATAAGTACTTTTGTCTATACTTGGAAACCGCTCCTGGGCTTTGTGCTTGAGGTGGGGAAAAAAAAGATATCATGATTTTTTACCAATTAGACTGATTTGCCAATACAGAAATGGCTAGCACATACGACTATAGAAATGTAAAAAAAGTTGAGATTTGATTTTAATGTCTGATTTTACTGCAACAGAAAGAATCAGAAGTCAATGCCTTTTGTCTCTCCCCCCTCCCTTTCTTCACACCTTTTTTGTTTTTCCTTTTTTCTCCTGTTGTCCCCTACTATTTGCTTTTGTATTTTCACATTTTATGTTATAAATGAAAAAAACTAAATTAAAAAAAAGCGAAATATGGCCAATACAATTCTTACCTCAATAGTGTACTGTTCAAAAATCCGGAGCTGAAGAAAAATATCCAGCTTAATTTTCCTTTCATGGAAGAGCTCCTCCATCTGTACCTGAGCTTCATCAAGCTGTTGGAGGACAGACTCAATGTGGCTGATGGAACTATTATGTGGTGTTTTATTGTTAGAGACCGCCGAATCTCTGTGGTAAAGTCAAAACAAATGGTTAGGAACCCAACATTGATAAAGATATTGAGAAAAGACAAAATATTTTCTATTTTATAAATTGCTGAAAATCTTTCATCAGCCTAATATCCGAACTTCCTCAATATTATATACTGAGCTGAATACCATATATCTCTTCACATCTCAAGGCATTTTTGTCCTTTTCTGCATTAATTAAGAATTGCAAAGAAAAAGAAGAAAAAGATAACAAATGGCATACAAATCCCTTCAGGGTCTCGTTCTCCTTTTCATAATAATAATAATAATAATAATAATAATAATAATAATAATAATAATAATAATAATAATAATAATGGTGGTGGTGGTGGTGGTGGTGGTAATAATAATAATAATAATAATAATAATAATAATAATAATAATAATAATAATAATAATAATAATAATAATAATAATAATAATAATAATAATAATATAGTTGGAAGGAACCTTGGAGGTCATCCTGCTCAGGCAGGAAACCCTACACCATTTCAGACAAATGGCTGTCCAGTCATGGACTGGACAAGCCTAATCTTGATTATAGGATGCTTATGCTCCTATAAAATGGACAAGCCTAATCTTGATTATAGGATGCTTATGCTCTAATTTCCAAAGTTCTCTCAAAGCAATTAATATACACCTCTGCTCTAAAAGCATGCTAAGTGTGAAAGAGATACAGGTCTGATCCAGGAAAAAAAAGAAAGAAAGAAAAAAGAGGATTGCCTCACTTTCCTCTAGTTCAAATACTCCTTCCCCTGAATTCTGCTTTGCCAACTATCAGCATGTACCCTTGGGCAGATTATACCTGAATGTACAATGTGCTAATAAAAAGCAAAACAAAACAAAAACATGGCCATCATGAAACCATAGCAAATCAAATCAAACCAAATCGGGGAGTGGGGGGGGGGGGAAGAGATTCAGATCAGGGGTATGATCTGGAGGGTTTAACCCTTTGCTATGTTCTGCTTTCTCACTGAGAATTGCCAGTATTGTTGGAGAGAAATCAGAGTTTTGTCCAACTTTTCAACAACACAATAATTCTACCTCTGTATATTCTACTTCACTTCTACTGTAGTGCTCACACATTTAAAAATGCAATGGGACCGAAATGTAATAAAGGTTTAAAGCTGAAAGATCTGTATACAAATATTTTTTTTAAAAAAAAAGAACCAGAATTTTCTTTATAAAAGCGAATATGATTCATCTGAACAGATTCTTCTACCAGACTGACAAAAGGGTGATCACCTTTTTGAAAAAGAAATAAATTGTTTCCAGAGCATTTCTAATTAAATGCTATTAAGCCTAGCTGAACAAAGCCTCTACAGGTAGTCTTTGACTTAACGATCATTCGTTTAGCATCCCGTCAAAGTTACAATGACACGGGAAAAAGGTGACCTGCGATTGGTCCCCACATTTACAACCATTACATCATTGCCTCGGTCATGTGCTCAAAATTTGGGTGCTTAACAAAAAAAGCATGCGTTTACAGTAGCTGCTGCCTACTGGGGTTGCTGTGATCGCCATTTGCAACCTTCCCAGATGGCTTCCAACAAGCAAAGCCAGTGGGGGAAAGCTGGATTTGTTTAAGAACGGTGTGAATCACTGAATTGCGACAAAAAAAGTTGTAAAATCAGGCACAACTCACTTAATCACTTCGCTTAGCAACAGAAACTCTGTTATGGTCATAAGCCAAGGACTACCTGTGTAGAGAGTCACAAGTCTTGGGACGTCATTATGTGAATTAGGCTGTAGGTGTTTGAGGAAACCTATATATTCCATGCAGTCACTTTTAAGGCACACGTTGTAAATTGCACTTGCACAAACCCAGTACAATTGGAAACGGTAGGTATCAGTTGAAAGCTTTGCTTTATTGTGCCACGGGGATCTTGCTAAACTGAAAGCTCTTACAGGTGAAAAAAATTAGTAATGATATATTAAAATCATATGTTTTATTTAGTGGATTGCAGACACTGCTTAGCAGGAATAAGTATTTAAACCACAAGGCCTCCATTTATAACAATTTAATAATGTTCCCCAAATATCCACTTTAAACATATTCAGGCAGTACCATTTAATCATAGTCAGTTTAGTACATCTGCAGCTCCCCTCATCCATTACATGCAGTGGTCCAGGTGAACTGAGATTATTTATTATTCATCTCTACAAATTATTCCTTATAGCTTCAGTGAAATGATGCATTTAAAAATTACTTAATGATTACAGGTACTTCTGTGCCCCTCCTGCCAGACGGATCTAGGCAGCTTCCCAGCAATAATAAAACAAGTGAGCTATGCCAAAATAAATAGCAATACGGTTCTAAAATATAGTTAAGTGGGAAGCACTAATTTCCGCGTGGAATTCTAAGGTGTGTCCCGTTGTGCCCAAGGAGCTCACCTGAGCTGCTGGATTAGATCTTCCCCTTCTTTGATGACATTGAGAGTGGCATCCAGAGTAGCTGTTTGCTGCTGCTGGAACTGCTTTATGAGTTCCTGAACGGCATCTACAGAGTCAGCACAGACGTCTTCCAAGAGCTCCTTCTGCAGGTCTTCCATCCATGTCCACAGCTAGGAAAAAGGGAAAGAAAAAAAAAGAGCAAAAGATATCAGAAGAGGCAGAAGGGGGGGGGGAAGAACAGCGGGCAGGAAAAGGGTGATCTTAACTGTTTTAAATCAGCTCAAAGAGTATCCATCAGGCTCTCACAAAGCACAACATTATCTGACACTAAAGCACTTAAGCCAGTGGTTCTCAACCTTTTCTTCACCACGGATACCTTCTGTGGCCACAGACCATGGCCACGGACCACCAAGACTTAACTCAAGATTTAAATCATAATATTTTTTTTGTGGACTCCCTGTGATGACATCGGCCCCCACCCTGGGGTCCATGGACCACAGGTTGAGAACCACTGACTTAAACAAATGTAATATTAAATAAAAGATTGCCCTGAGATAACTATATAGTATGAGTGCATATATAATGATTGTCTTTTTTCATTCTTTTATTTTCAATTAAAGAGAAAGAATACAGGAGATAAATGAAAGAGGCAGTTCTATAATTACCAAAGATAATAGAAATGCTAACACAAGGATGGATGTGGGCCATTTCATTTCATTTCATTTCATTTCATTTATTCAATTTGTATCCCGCCCTTCTCCCGAGGGACTCAGGGCGGCTCACAACATTTTTTAAAACAAAAACAAACCCACAATCCCCGCCGAATAAAACCAATTAAAACCCAAATATTCTAAGTTGTGATATTTAAAATTTTCTAAAAATGAACCCGATTTAAAAATCCTCCCTAGGCCA